CTCGGCAAAGAAGTTATTTTGAGTGCTTCATGGATTTTCCATAAACACGATTGCACATTTACTGTGCTTCACCGGATGATTCATACGATTTGTACTTTCCCCCAGATAAATTGAACATTGGCCGGCATTAATTAGTATTATCATAAATGGGGCTATAAATATGGCTTCATTCCATATTAAAATCCGGGTCTTGCACTTTACCAGCCCCAAAGAATCTCAGAATTTATTGTCTCAGCTTGTACATATCTGGGGAGCATTTCCAATTTGATTACTTTGATCAGACTTAATGAACCGGCGACCATAACGACGGAGCATATCGAATGGATCCGCTGTGCCCAAAACGGGAACTGTGGCGAATGAACCTTAAGTGGAAAGCGTAGCGAACTACATGCAATTAATTTACATTTGCGTAAATTGTAAATTTAAATTAGATGTATGCATTTCCTTTAAGGGTATGTATATATTGTTTTACCAAACCGATCGGAGATTGCTTTGTCAACTTCTAAGGACAGACTAAATGACGGATTGAAGATTTGACCAAAATGTGTGCCCAGCCGAAATTCTAAACGTAATTAATTTTCGGCTTTTGTTGTATCAAAGGAATTTCTTGATGTCAAAAAGTTCAAAGGACATTCACGCACACATATGCTTGTGCCATCTGATGCCTGCCGTTTTGTGTTGTAAATAAGCAAAATAAACGAAATTGATGTAGGAGCAACAATAAACAAGCGATGGCCGGCCATCATCAACCGCCTGAAATCCGAAGAAACCCAGGAAGGACCAGCAGCGTGGGGCTTCATCTCTATCTGAAATCGGCAGGCAACCAGAAGGACGACAGACCTCCCATGATGCATGTCTCATATTGCACTGATTTATGGCCTGGTCAGCGGGTGGCGTGTGTGGGTTGATGTGGGTGTTGGCTAATGGGAGGGAAGACCCCAGAAGTGCAACACGAATACTGCAACTGCAAGCAGGCGCTGCGGCTGTACAGAGTCCCTCCGAGAGTCATTCACCACATTGCCCAACTCTCCTTAAATTTCATTTAAATAAAGCTTAATTAAATTGTAAGCCTACCTGAAATTGAGTGACAAGGAATACCTCTTATCAGGACGAGACCACGCATGGAGGCAACGTAGGACAAAATGGAAGCCGTCTATGTGTGTATATAGACTCAATGATTCCAGGCTATTTTGCCAGTCATATTATATAAATTAGGATTTGATTTTTTTTATTCGACAGTCGCTAGGCTTTGATCATAATTATATAGCTATTAGGATTTACATTGTTTCGTCCTGCGACCATTTTTGGTCGACCAATTTTCTGTTTTGCGGTACGGAAAACTAAAACTTTAAATCACAAAAGTGACTTTTGATGCTGATCAGGAATCACTAAAACCATTTTCGACACAAAAAGTCTCTCTTTTATTAAAAGCCTCAGATAGTTGCAAACGTGTCTAGACAAAAACATTAGTACCAATTAATACTTCGTGTATTTCTATCAACCATTTTAAAATCAGTATTCATTTATTTAATGTGCTATTTCCAGGCACTAATCGACACGATTTAGCAGCCCTGCTTATCTGCTTCGAAACAAAACGATTTCCCCATTTATACAACTGCCAATACAATTTCCCAATAGACTTTGTGACCCTAAAACGTTTTTTAATCACCAAAACTTTGTATAATTAAAATATAAATAGTTTACAACTCTTCAAAATATTGAAAAGGCATTGATTACCTTGGCCGCTGACTCTGGCGATATATTCCGCCATATCTGTAGATCTCTGGCTTTTGGCGTTGGGGGACTCGTTCTGATGGAGGGACGTTCACAATTAATGGATTTGAGGGTGCCTCAGAAAATGGATTTCGAATTTGAAATGTGTCCGAAAGTTGTCAATGTGGACTTTAAACAGATTCTGGTATTGTGACAGCTTCAAACCTGTGGAAAAAAAAGAGAAAGGGGAGAGAGTGTGCGACCGAGACAGGGAGTTACGTGCGAGTGTGATGGCGGATGGCGAACAGGAGCGAAATACAGTTGTGGAACTTCTTTCATTTAATTTCTGCAACAAAGTTTTCTGTGTGACTAACAAGACCGAAACTTTTTCGAAAATAAATTTGAAATTAAATTTTGCCAAAGCCTTTTAAAGTCCGTTGCCAAGCCAATCGGGAGACGGGTGCGAGTTTGCTGAAGTGGGGAAAACTTTTTTCACAATTTACTTTCATCAAAATTACATCAATCATAAATGCACTCATTCAGTCGTTGTCATGTCGCCATTCCATCAATTCCCATTTCTAGAGCTTCGTGCTGATGCTTTTGTGTGTTGTTGCTCGACTCTAGTTAGCCGTTTTTGCTGTAGTTGCTATTGGGGCATCCTTTTAACAATTTCTAATTGAAATTGATTTAGAGTTATTTTTGCCTTCGACTTTTTCCCTCCATTTCAGTTGAGTTTCGTGTGAACGTGCTGTTTTTTGATGTGCGTGGCAAGCTAATGGTCTACGTGATGAAGACTCTCGTATAATGGAGGAAAAATGCCAAAAATTTTAATGGGTTAAACATGTAATTTATGAACCTTTGTACTTACTTCTAGAAACTTGGTCTTAAATTAACTGGTATGCTGTCAATGCTGAATATAAGGTATATCCTCCTTTACTGTAAAAATGTATAAACCAAAGGATTTATATAAGGCATTTTGCTATATCACAAATTCTCACAAAATGTTCAATTTAGAGTAACAGGATGTTTTGTATTAGCCTTGGGTCAGTTTCATTTTCCATTTGAGTGACTCGGATGATTGAAAAATCTATTAATTCGAATTACTTGCAGAAAAGCATTCTTTAAATTCTTGCCACATGTCGGACGGCCATTTAATCGGATGGGATGCTACGGACATAGATACATACACACAACTTTTAATGGTATATAAATATATATGCATCGCATTGTAGGTGCGGGCCGAGAAAACGAGTTTGCTACCCGCTTCCAGTTGCGTCAAGTCATTGCGATGCGATGGAAGCATGGGGGTAGCAGCTGGTTTTTCGCCACATTTATAATGGCCTGCTCTCTGGGCCAGTGCCGCGGGTCTTGGGCAACTCTAAGTGGGTTGCGCGGCACCGATCCGAACTGCCGAAAACAACCCGAACATAACCGATCCAAGCCCGAACCGTGGCGAGAAGCTTGCGGAGATGGGAAGAGCCCATGATGAATGGCTTTCAAGTGGGACGCAGCCTTCCGAGCACCCGGCCGCCTCCACTCCGAGATGCCCTGCGCACCGCTTCACTGGTTGCTATGCGTGGGTATATGGCGAGCTTCCATTTACAATGGATGCCAAAATAATAGACGTAGACAAATTATTTCCCACTAATTTTATTGCTTTCGCTATATCCTCGATATTATATCAGAAAATCTGGATATTCAACCGATGTAATAATTAAAAAAAAAAGTTTATATAAAAAATTTTCTGCCAGGTGTGGGGTTCGAACCCACGCTCTCTCACGAGAACCAGAGCTTAAATCTGGCGCCTTAGACCGCTCGGCCAACCTGGCCTTGAAAACGCTTTCTTTTTAAGTATATTAAAAATATTCAAATTTAAATCAGTTGGAGTTTAAGGTTTATTATTTAAAACTTTGTGTTATGTTCTGAATCATACGTGGTGTTTTTATATAAAATATGTGTTTTTTACTATATACCGTTAACCGCAACTGTGCTTAGCAACGAAATGGATGTTTCTTGCATGATTTATGAGCGCCCGCCGAGGCGTTTCGAAAGTGGCGAGCTGAGTTGGCAGTTGGGCTCTGGAGAAAACTGAGGCGAAACTTTCTTTCGTTCGGAAGATGGATCGTCGGATCGGCTCTAGCACTGGGATCCGTGTGCGAAAATAATGTGCGCTGCAGTTCACCCTCTCAGTTTCCCTAACACCCCCTCTGCCAACCCTGCAATGTCCGGACTCGAGTCCGGATTTCGGTTCCTCCTTCGGGCTGTTTTGGCGCATTCATCAATGTCCATGGCGCTTCCGTTGGTATATGTATACACTGTACTTTACTCGGTGGAGCTGCATGTAAAACACTCGCACACCAGTGCAACAATCTTTATCGAGCACAAACATAATCAATCAATTGGATTTATGTGCTCCAACTGAAGATAAAACTAATCAATCTTCGCCAGCGACATTCGGAGACAGAGTTGGGGACGCCTGGCATTGGATGGCCATGAAGAGACGTTGGAAATCCCAGTTTCAGCTCCAACATCAGGCACTATTTATTTTTCAGTCCCTCTCAAAAGTGGCTGCTATTAATTGTAAAGAAGTTGTGAGGCTTGGACGTTGAGAGATGATCTCGGGCACTTGACGGCGGTTGAGGAAATATAATTTCCGGTTACAAAGTTCAAGTGCAGATAAGCCTCTATATAGATAAGACAAAAGGTTTACATAACTCGTCTGTTAATTTTACTTTAAGCGCTTTACATGTGCACTGGGGACTTCAAAAGGTCAACTTATTTGATTAGAAATTTAAAAGCGAGACTAAAAACTGATTTTGATCCTAAAAATTGTCAATTCCATAAAGCATTAGACTCAAAAACACATTGCTGCACATGTCAATCGTATATTTACATAATGTCACCTACGTCAAAAAGATTATATTATATTTGGGGTTTTACCCTCATAAATCGTTCGTCAGTCCTATCGGAGTTGAACAGATAAGATAAGATTCACTAAGTCACTATAATAAGAGAAGTGAAAGTGCGGTCCTTATATGATCCAGGCCTTATTTTATAGCTTTATGATTGTACCATTATAGCTTTATGATTGTGCCCTATAAATTATCCTGATTATCTTATCTAAAGTTCAAATTCCGACTTATTTAAAGATAATTTTGAGATGGAACCCTTAAGAATGCACACTGCACATAATTTGCTTTAGTCTTAAAATTAAATTTTGATGTGCATACATGAGATTTGTTTTCAATCAGTTTAGTAATGGAAACCTCCATATTCTATCTTTTCAGTCGGAGTCCAACTCATCGGCATCGGCCAAGTTCACCCTGTTCAAGTGTGTCTACTGTGCCCAGCTGCTCGGATCCAACGACCGACCCAAGCTGCTCGAATGTCTCCACGTGGCCTGCGCCCAGTGCGTAAGCACCAAGTTCTCGGAGCTGGACCGCTCCCTCCCGCCACTGATCCATTGTCCGGTGTGCGACAATGCCTCGCAGAACGAGTTCATCGTGGACAACCAGTTCCTGATTGAGCAATGTGCCGCCGGTGACAGTGGCGATGGGGTCGGCGCTTTGGGTTTGATCGGCGAGGGCCAGAAGAGCGCTGCCGCGGCCACTATCCAGTGCAGCAGTTGCTCCGATGGGGCGGTGGCCACGTCATGGTGCGTTGACTGCTCGGAATACATTTGCGACAGCTGCGTGCAGGCCCACCAGCGCCTGAAGATCACCAAGGACCATACGATCAAGCCCAAGGACGAGGCCAACAACGAACAGCTGGCCGGAGCTGCTGGCGTGGACAAGCTGCACATGTGCCAGCTGCATACGCAGGAGAAGCTATCGCTGTTCTGCGAGACTTGCGACAAGCTCACGTGCCGAGATTGCCAGCTAAGCGATCATCGGGATCACAAGTACAAGTTCGCCCACGAGATCGCCACGGAGTCGCGACAGGCGCTGTCCACACTTGTCTCCGAGATCAACTACAAGCGCTTCCTTCTCTCCTCGGCAACCAAGGTGATCGACGACCGACAGCAGCTGATCCACGACAAGAAGAAGGACCTGATCAAGGAGATCACTGCCATGGCGGTGAAGATTACCAACACGGTAAACACCCGCGGCAAGCAGCTAATCATGCGATTGAACGAGGTGTGCGATAGCAAACTGAAGGTGCTGGTGGAAAAGAAAGAGACGCTGCAATTGCTGTCCGACAACACGGATCACTGCATTGACTTTATGCAAAACGCCCTGGATAAGGGTAGCGACTTCGCCATCCTCTCCAGCAAGAAGTCGTTGGTGCGTCATCTGCAGAAACTGAAGTGCCAGCGGGCGGATATTCCCAACCCGGAGATACCGGTGCGCATTCAGGTGCAGCTCAATCAGGTCTCCGATCTGCAGAAGGTAATCTCGCAGCTGGGCATCATCATCGTGGATGGCAAGCCCTATCCGCCCACGGCCTCGCCCAATGGCACCCCCCAGCCGCAGCATCCGCCGCGCCAGCCGCCCAGCCCAAACATGGCCCCGCCCCTGCGTCCCGGACTTCCGCCCGGAATGCCAGCCGGTCTCTCGCCGAACGGCCCGCCTGTCAACTTTGTACCGCAGAATGGACCGCCGCTCTACAGTAACGCCGCCCAGCAGCAGTTCAACAATCTGTCCATGAGTCGCTCCTTTCCGGGCGACGGGTCAGGTAAGGGTACGCATGATTTTCATTTTGTATTATTTGTTACCTTTACACGATACTTCAATTAGTTTTTCGATTCTTAATATATCAACCTGCACTTCAGTCAACTAAATACATTAATTAAGACGACAGTCTAGTTGCAGAATAATTATATGTAAGTTTATCATTAGCCGAGTCAATTATGTCCATTCGAAAATCGAGATTCCGCATTTATCATAGAAGTAACACGGTTGTAACAAGTTGTTTTCAAAATTTGACTACACCAACAAATCGTGAAATTTTGTAGCGACATGATAGATAAATATTTCTGAACGGCATACAATTATTTCAGAAGTTAGCTACAAAATTACGTTCAGCATAGTCAATAATGTCAGTCGTAGCAGATAAATATACCTTATATAAAGCGCTCCTTTTTGTTTTCATTTCAAATTATAAGTTAATACCAGGTGTTTATTTTCTTCACAACTTCTCCCTTAAATAATAATAATAACGTGGTTTAGAAGCAATCAATGTCCCGGGGTGTTTTAAGCTTTGGTTCGGCGAACCAAAGCTTCTTTTGTTTCTTCAATGATTTAGTGATATATCAGCTGCTTGGGTGAGCAGGTATGTTTTCCCAGAAAGACGCTACCTCCTGCCAGGCAGTTGCTGTTATAATTTTCCGCACAGTTTTTTAATGGGTTTTCGTCTATGTTGCAGTTCGCTTCGGGGGCATGCCGCCAGTGGGTATGCAGCGACACGGCCAGCCGCACGTGAGCTCCTCCACGCATCCGCAAAATATGGGTAGGTGCCACGGGCGGAGTCCCAAGTACTAGGCAAGGTGGAAAATTAATTTTCTGCTCGCGCATTTTCAGACATCAGCCTGCGGGGCCTGCTGAACAACCAGGCGGCGCAGAGTCCCAACGCCCACATGGCATTCAACGGCCCACCCAGCTATCCGGGCGGGCCGCAGGGAGCACCGGCGCCGGCCCACCAGCAGATGGGCCCCCAGATGCGTCCGCATTTCATGCCCGGCCAGCAGGGTTTCCCGCAGGGCGGTGGTCCAGGAGGCGGGCCACGGGACGCCAACTTCATGAGCAGCAATGCCCGCTTCCAGTCACAGTATCAGCGCATGGCCAATCATGCAGCGGCCATGGCCGGAGCAGCGGGTGGCGGCGGTGGGCAGATCCCCTCGCCGGGTGCACTGCAGCGACCCCAGATGATGTCGAATCCCATGCAAAATGTGAGTGCCATGCAGAATGTAAGTTCTTAAAGTGAAATTTCTTAATGGTAAAGTCGCAGACCTAACCATTCATCTCCTTTTCACAGTCGTTGGGGTTTCATGGGAGCCAGGCTGGCTTTAATCCCGGCCCACCGCAGACCTCCCCGCAGTTAGGCGGCGGCGGCATGCACAGCCTGGCCAAGTGGCACATACCGCAATCCGCGCAACAGTCGAACAGTGAGTAATTGAAATTAACAAACCCTAATTAATTTATTTTAAAATAATTTAAATGAATATCAAAATTAAAAATGCATTTTAAAAAATATTTAGCTTTTTGATAAAGAAAGTATTTTTCTACAATATATTTATATTTAATATGTTAATCTTATCTTTTGTCCTTGTTATACTCTTAAATTGAAGAAAGTTGCGGATCATAACTCACAATTGTGGAATTCGGTTATGATAAGCTAGTTAATGCGAGTGTTTTCCAAGTGAAGTTCTATAATCACAAGACTCCTTATCATATTTTATTACAAAGCGTCAGCACATTTCCGTTCAAATAGTATTAAATATAACACAAGAAAAATAATTGTTTTAATTAAACTATATGAAAAACAAACAATAACTTTGATCTGTTAAAAATAATAAAAAGGTTATTGACAATGTATCCTCCCATTTTTAGTGTGTACACAGCAAGGCCCCCTTTTGCCTTTTGCGAATGGCCGCCAGACCTCGGAAAATTTTAAAATCTCACTGAAATCTCCAAACACGCTCAAGAACAGCACCCCGCCCAGCCTGGGGGGCGGTGGTGCGGGTCACCCGGGCCTCGGAAACGGCTCCTCCAGTGCCCAATTGAATGCAGCTGCCCTGGGATTGGGGCCAGCCGTTTCGATACTCTCAAATGTCACCTCGACGAATCCAAAGACGCCCAGTCCCAGCACACATGAGGTGGGTGTATAGAACACCTCTAAATAGGCTTGGTTGCCTAATCTCTTTCACAATTATAGAACACCAAGGACTTCACCGAACCCATAGACAAGGTGCGCGACGACTCGATCAACGATCTAATTGCCACCATAGCCAAGTTGGACTCAAATGGAGTGCAGGTGCTGCCAGAGGGTCGTACCAAAACCACCTCACCGCAGGTGCATAGCTCGACGGATCTGTCAAACACGCAGGAAGGTAAGTACTCCGAAGGCTGTCCGCCTCCAAGTGCTTCATGTGCTCCATGTGCGTGTGGCGTTGTAGTTGCGCTGAATCTCATGCCCTAATCATTCCGAAAAGGTGGAGGAAATCCAATTGTTTATGTCTTTGAGTGATTACCTGCTTGTTACCAGCTTAAGTTTTAAACATCAGCCGTCAAACCGCTTTAGTTGTATATTCTGGTGAAGGTTAAATACCATTTGTTTTGGGACTTGTCTGTGGTTGGGTACGCTACGCTGCATTATTACCATTAGTTTTGCTTGCTGGCTTACCAAATAAAATTCTAAAATTCTCATAACTTTGCTCTCTTTATTTCTATTTTCAAACATTCCAAAACAAAACTCGTTTTCCAAATAAAATCAAAACGCGCAATAAACGAACGACACTTATAAATTACTAACAATTGAATCAATTCCAAACCAACACTTCAACACACTCAAACCAACTCGAATTAATCAACAACAATGCATACTCGACACACCCACATGAACACACATCCGAACCATGAATGTGAACCCAAAACTAATCATATCAGTTAATAATAAAAACGAACAAAAAGATGATCCCAACGAGGACTGGTGCGCCGTCTGTCTGGACGGAGGCGAGCTGATGTGCTGCGACAAGTGTCCGAAGGTGTTCCACCAGAATTGTCACATCCCCGCGATCAGCTCGCTGCCGGACGAGAGCGAAAGTTGGCAGTGCCTGCTGTGCGTGAACCTCAAGGAGCTGACCAAGACGGAGGGCAGTGAAAAGAGCTCCTCCGGCGATCTGAGCGCCCTGGAGCTGCGCATCCTGCAGCGCATCTGCTTGGAGCTTTACTGCCAGTACGAGCAGAGCCTGAACTTCCGGGAGCCAGAGTCTCCAGCTAACACATCATACTACGAGATTGTTTCCAGGTAAATTTCAACGTTAATTAACTAGTCTATCTGGGGTTTTTGTTGGTACTAAGATTATATCTCTAAAAGGCGGATTTGAGAAGTTACCTTTTAAATTAATATATTTAAATGCTTAATTTGTAGTCCCATGTCGCTAGATGTGATCCGCACCCGCCTGGATCCATCCAGTCCCAACCACTACAAGGACATTGCTGGCTTCGTATCGGACGTACGTTTGATTTTCTCCAACACATACCTCTTCTATCAGGTGAGGGTGAATATTGACTCAGCCTTATTTGCGATCCCTACTAATGCCCGAATTTTCGGCCAGGAGGACACGAAAACCTACTCCAATGCCAAATACTTGGAGAATTTCTTCGAGGAGCAGCTGACCAAGTGGCTACCGCAATTTGAGGGCAGCAAGCAGCTGGGCAAGGGCAGCAGCTCCAACTCGCCGGCGCTGTTGGGTGTCAATGCGACTGGCTCGCCGTCGCCCATCGAGAACGGACGAAAGAGCTGCGGATCAGCGTCGTTGGGCGATAGCGATGGTGGCTGCTTGCCGGCCAAGAGGGCGCGACGGTCAGGGCACGAATAGAACGAACTGATGCCCGGCAGTAAGGGCACGGACGCGGATCAGCCGGAGGATTCGGGACAGCAGCGCCGCCAAGGGGAGCCGCAGACGGGGCAGCAGCAATTGCCTGGTTTTCTGGAGGAGCTGGATTTGGAAATGCCGCAACGGCCGCACAGCCTCGGCAGCAATGTTATCCAGGAGAGCGCTGACTACGTGCTTCAGCTTTTACACGCATATGCCGCCGCCTTTGGATTGTAGATGCCGCAGAAGCTACGTTTCCGAATTCAATTCTAGTGTAGGCTTTATGGTGAGCGAATGACCCGTGGGCTTTCCCAAAAACATGAGTTACGTGCACACATCTAAACAGATACACCTAACAAAAGCTGATGTGCCCTTTGAACCTCAGTGTCCGGACATATTTATAAACAAATTGTAAATAGTAAAGCCAAGCAAGTCATTTGATATGATTTTATTTGTACGTAAAATGGAATAAATTGAATTCTTGGGCGATCGATAATTGAAATGAGATATGTTTAGCTAAATTCTAAGTGTTGAATATCCATAAACATTAATATAAATATAACTATAAATATGTATACCTTTCTGTAGAGAACCAGTAGAGATTAAAACTAGTTGTAAGTGTTCAAGTTCGAGTAAAATCGTCATTCTTATTTTAACTGATTTGTATTTGAGATAAACCCCATTCTGACCCATCTCTGTTGGAGTTGTATTTACTTTTGTGATAGCGAAAAACAATAAGATGAACAAATTACCCATTATTCATTAATTAATTATTATTACCATTAAATTAAACACTGTGACGTAGCTCTACATTTATTTCGAATTTGTCATGTACGATATTTATTGCCCGCTAACCATCCATCAGTAGGACCTAACAAGGCCACAATGTGTAACCCCAAGTCCCTGCTCATCCCAAGAACAGCATACATTCGTATACCACGTAAGAAGACACTTGAAATAAGATAGCTGCATTCTAGGCGTGTAGGCTCCGCAGATGAATCAAACCTTTAAATTACGGATAAACAAAACATAGATATTTGGATGTTGTACGTTTGACGTAATAGCATAGAGTAGGTGTAAGGAGTGAGTAGCTCTATTTATTACCAATCGATCGGCGGGACTCAACTCCCGCGGGCGATGTACATATTAATCTATACATATTTCCAACAAAGAATCACCTTTTCATATACATATATCTTTAACCAAGCGTGTATGTAGTTTTGTATGATGCCGGGTTGAAACTAAAATAAAACCAAACCAGCTAGGGCCGATATTTTCATAAATGTTTTCAATGCAATACACAAAGAACAGACACGATCAGAATCCGCACTGGACAACTAAAAAAATATAATTAAACTAGATAATAATACGGCTACTACTCCTAATGGCGCCACAATAAGGATGATAAGGGGGCGGAAACATATTAATGAAATTAAATAGCCATGCATAAATGTTTGTACGACGTTCCCAACGGACGACAATGTGTGCTATCCTATCAAAAAACTAAAGCTTAGCAAAACTAAAGCGAGCACAGGAAGACCATGCATAGCATCTGCGAATGTTTATGTGTTAAATGTGAAACTATGGAAATTATTTTATCTGTTTTAGCCGTAAGTTTTACGATAACTAAAGATTAACCACTGTATATGAATGTACTACTTACTATCAAGTGGATTATAAAATAATAAAAAAAACTTCATGTACTCCATTGATTTTATTCATATGGCAAAGAAACCATCCTCCCGCAGATATTGCTCTTCGCATGGGGGCTACAAGAGGAATCTTTCGTCAATGAGTGTCTTGCGGGAGACATTGCGTCGAACCCAATGGCGAAACACTTGGCGCAGCAACTAAAATAAATAATGGAGATTAGTTGGTTTGTATATCATTGATTCCTCAATGTGGCACCCTACAATATTTAACACACAAGCTGCAGCAGCTGCAATCAACAAGCTTGAAGTCATCAGGAAGATGGATAGCAGCAAGAGCAGCTCGAGCACACAGATATGCAAATGGTTACCCAAAAGAAGAACTCGGGAGAAGCTAAACGAATCGTCGATGTAGAATGTTCCTTTATCTGAAATATAAAAACAATCTTACATCTGTGCAAACGATACCTTAATGATTACTTACTTTCAGTAATGTAGTTGTCGATTTCGCAATTGAGCAGTTGCTCCATAAAGGACTTTTCCTTTATTATGTAGTCCATGTCCTTGATGGCCTGTCACAAAAATATTTAATTAATGAAAATACTTTTTAAAGAATTAGTATTTTGCGAGATTGAACACCTCTGACTTACTAAAATTTCTTACATCATAAAACGATTTTGAATAAACTTAAACTCTAGTTCTGAACGCTTGTTTAAGTCAAGCATTAAACCTGAATTTAATATTTCAAAAAGAATGTTTATTTTCAATCTCCATTCAAGTAGTAGCCATAATTTTTCGTTTATTTTTGGAAACTGTTAAAGGTTTTTTTTTAAAGCAATTTGATGTAGTTTGATTTGAAATGAACAACTTTCCTCGACATTACTTTTTTTATAGGTGGCTCTGATTCTATCTTAAGCTTTATTAAATGTGACTCACACAGTCTTATGCGGATATGTATTTTGTTTTTTTTTTTTTTCGCACGTTGATGCATTATGATCAGCGCAAACAAGTGACAAGTCGGTACTTACATGATCAATAAAGGCGCAGAAAAAGCGATTGACGCTAGCATATGCAATGGAGGTGCGTTCCATCTGGCCATCGATGCTGGGGACGATATCCTTCTGGTAGAGAAGGGTCTGCGAAAGACTGCCGTTGAGGCTTCTTTGGAAGGGCAGAAGGAGCCGCTCCAGGTAAATGCTATACAAATCAACAAATAATAAATAATGCCCCGTTAAAATGACAGTCACAAAACTCACTGAAGACTCCTGGGTGGCAGGATGATGTAGGCCTGCTTATCCGAATCCATGAGCAATCCCCGTCGGCCACTCATAGTCTGCGTCCTCTGAAGCTGCAGAATCATTGAGGACATGTCCGTATCGGCAAAGCCATGTGGGGATCGTCCGTGAATGTAGTAGCCAAAACCGGGCTCCGTCAGCGAGAACAACGAGATGTTGGCCAGACTGCAGAGGTCAATGAACTTCTGCAGAGGATTGGCCATGAGCAGATGGTGGCCTATTATTTGAACCAGATACGTGACCAGATAAAGGGCGGCTATCAAGCAGCAGCGCAATCCGAAATCCCCGGTAAACCTCTCCAGAAACTGATAGCCAGCGATGACCACAAAGACTTGACCCAATGTGGAGTACTTCTGGCTCACACTCAGGCGAATCCAGGCATTGGCCGTGAAGAGCACCCGCCAGGCGGAGACGCTGCTCTCGGCGACAAAGGTGCGCACACTGGAGCAAAGGGAGGAGCTGTCCAGGTTCAGCCGCTGGCCCTCGCAACTGCTCCTCGGTCTTTCCCAGTCGATGAGGAACAGTTCCAGCTGGCTGGAGCGCCACAGCTGAACGCCCAGGAAGACCAACTGCAGCACACAGGCGGGATAGAGGAGAAACTTCAGCAGGCGTGGATTGGAGGCCTGAAGGAGCAGGAGCAGCAGAGCGGTGGCCAGTAAAGCGTAGGCCACATTCCCGGCAAGCTGTAGAAGAAACTCCAGAAGGCTGCTCATCTGGCAAAGGTCGGATTTCCTTCTCCTCCGCAAATTTTGAAGACGGAAGACGGCAGCTGCGAGGGCCAGCAACAGGAGCAGGGGCAACGCCACCTCCAGAACCAACCAGTCCCAGCCTCTTTTCAATTGCTCGTAACTAATCCTCAAGCGGAATGGATAAGGCTGGGAAAGCGAGGCATTTCCCGATCCCATCTCAATGCGGCGGTAGCGCAGGCGGATGAGGGGCAGACCCACTCTATCCGGATGATCCTTATCCAGGGTATAGTACACCTCTATATCCTCCGCATAACGCAACGAGTTATACAACTGAAGCTTGTGGCCATCCTCGTAGCGTGGCAATGTCTGGTGGAGGCGATTATCCCGCGGTGAGACGGATATGAGCTGGAAACGCTTCACCAATTGCCACTCCTCCGGCTGGGGGCGCTGGAAATAAGAAAGGGGATTATTTATTCAAGAGAGGATTACAAAATATAAGAAAAATTTATGATTCCCTTATAGCTTTTAAGGGGGATTTAATGGTAACCAGAAATCAATCCTCACCTGATTCTCCGGAGTCAGGTTTTCAATGAGGACGGGAAGCTGGTGAAGCAGATACTGCCAGTTGCTGCTGAAGTTGAGGTAAACCGTGAGGAACTCATCGTTAGCCTTCCGGCTGGCTAGATCGATAAGTCGATCCAGAGTTAGATGGCAAAAGACCTCCGAGTCCTTTTTGGGCAAAGCCAATAGCAAATTGGGTGCCGGCTGCGGGCATAAGTTTAGCATCTCCAGATGGAAAGCACCCCACCGTTTGAGTCCGCCATCCAGGCTAAAAGTGGTGCTGAACAGTCGGAGTTCCTTGCGATCCGCCATCTGGAGAGTCTTCGAGAGCAGGTCCTTGGTAACGCGCCCCTTCTTGTAGAACAGAAACGGTTGCAGGGAGCGCACTTGCTCGCCGGAGTGGGCATACTTCATCACCACATCCGATACTTGGGTGAGCAGGAAGGCACTGCACGGCGAATGCTTCTCCAGCGAAAAGTGCGAGAGCACGCAGAGATTGGCTAGCTGCTGGCAGGCGGTATCGTTTCGCAGGGTTAGGCAGAAAAAGGCCACGAACTTGAGGTCACCGAAGTGGTTGGGTGCACCCGAATCCGGTCTGGGACTTGTGGTGGACTGCCAGAAGGCATTGTAGTGCAGATACGGACGGAGCAGGGTGCTGGCCAAGCAGAAATCCTGGTACCGGAAATTGTGACCCATTTCGCAGGAATGGCAATCGCCCACGCTGCTCATCGGATTGGTCTTGGTCAGAATAATCCCGGAAATGAGCGGATGCACAGGCAACTGGCTGGCGAAGACCGACGTGGAGTTGAGGTACCGATAGCTGCATTCTGTTGAGGGACGGGGCTGCGGAAGCCACACCGAGGTGCAATTATCATTCCTGTCCGGGCTGCAAATCTCGTCGCAGGTGGGCCACGTCTTCCCTCGCTCATAGATGGAAAGGTGACCAATTGGACACTGGCAAGAGAATTCTGGAATAAGGGAAAATAATTAGAGAGTATATGCTGGAATTAATTTAATTAAGTTGTTGGCGACCAAAACATTTTCTTCATTGCTCAAATCTTTATTTATTGTGTATTTTCGATTTCGATTTAATTGTAAGTTCTATCTGTAGGCTTTGATAATATATATTCTCTAGAAAAACTTAATAAAATCTCATTCATTCCCTAATAATTCCTCTTTCATAATAATCTAAGTAGATTTATGGTGAGAACTGAAAGTGATCTTTCCTTCAAGCTAGGACAATTTAAATTAAGGATCACAAATGATTTGGAGTAAATGTTCCCATTCAACCTGTAATGACATATATACGTCAATACAAATATGAAATTTGGAAAAGCACTTTATGGTTATTCTTGAAATTTATTTAAGTGCCTTTATGTGTCAAACCGATTTAATTTTTAGTCATATATTAAAAATCTAATGTAAGATCTAAATATATTAAATATATGTCACAGGTCAATGACACAAAAAATAATACATCCCTTATTGCATTTCATAACTTGAAGAGCCCAACTCTACTCAGTCCAAAGATTAATAAATAAATAAAGCTCTCAGATATTGCAATCCCCTTTAAATCATAATTCAAAATCATTACAATTATTAAGGTTACCTAAAATAGAAGGGGTTAACAAACATATACATATTTTCTTGGATAGCATGCAGTTTCTTGCCCCTTCGCTTGCCAACCCTTTTCAGTTCTGTTTGATCAATACTACCACTCACTGTCGGGCTGCAGTTTTCCCAGACCCCCATCTCCGGATGCAACCTCATTGCAAGGCACACAATCGAATAAGTTGAGGTTGTAGAACTCGTTCTTGAGGCACTGCAGCGGATTCTGGAAGCGGAAAGTGTGGGGCGTTGGCACCTGCGTGGGATTTGGCGTAGGATTAGCCAGCGAACAGTTGGCGATTTGAATTAGTAAGCCAATCCAAGCGAGTGGAAGGAACCAGTTAATAACCCGGAGGAAGCACATCGTGTTCCTGTTTGATTTCCGGAGCTTATGCCGTCTTCGTTGCCACTGCGCCAAAATTCAAAAGGATACTGAACACCCCATCGATTGCAGCTGCAACTTGAAAGGCGCCGAGGAAGGCAAGTAAACAAGTGGACTCGTAGTGGGAGCGGTGTTGCCATAGCTACCCAACCCCCGGGACTCTGGCCGGGCACGCATGCAAAATGGCCATTATCCGGAGGTTTGGCCCAGGTGGTTGCTCCCTCGACCGAAATTCCGGGTCAGGAGGCCGCCACATCAAGTGTAATGAGTCGCCGAGACTTGTTACGCCTGGGACTACCGGACTTCCCACTGGCTTTCCTTTTATATTTCAGCACTTTGCGTGCTCAAAATTGTGATTGCCATCATTACTTTCTTGGCATTTTGCACACGATTTGTAGGAAAATATGGCAGAGGCTATTTTAGAAATTAAATTCAACGCGATGGAATTAATTCCCGGTCAAATCCTTCTACCATCAATGGGGTTATTAAATTAATTGAGCGCACTCTTATATTAAATATTCACCACGAGGAATTTTTTATTCGCTAATAAGCATTTGTCTTTTTAGTAATGCACATCATACATATGTAGGTATGAAACCCTACTGGCTGTAGATTAAATTTCTTATAATTAAAATTGATCAAAGTAAATGCGAACAACATTTTTGTATCTGTGTATATATATGGCAAAGCAATTGGACATTTTTAAGTTTACATTAAAATTGTTGTATTATTTATGCATACATATTTACAGTAATAAAAAAAACAAAAAGTTACTGATTAAAGTTTGAGCCTGATGCTAATTTTAATTAAAGTTTTTTTGTTTTGAAAAAATATTTCTTGGGCTTAACTATTTACTAGTTATTATTATAACGTTGCTATTTTAAACAGACTGATACACTCCAATATATATATTATCGGTTTGTAAATGCTCATAGTTGTTATACAAAAAAAAAAAAACGAATCTCAATACTTATACTTTCTCAAAAACCAAAACAAAACATTTCTCTCATGGCCGTTACATTTGAATTCTAATTCTGGTAAATTAAGTAATACTTGTTTCATTTAAGATTTTGTAGCTTTGGAAGCTTTGCATGATTATAATTTAAAAACGAGTTATATACACCTACCCTAAAAGATAATCTTAATATATAAATGATTTATTTTTGTACTTAATTAAGTGCTTATTCAAATTGAAACATTCCATTAAGCCGCCTTTTAAACTTTAGGGCTTTTGGCTGAGCCGCGCAACGGTCACACTGCTGGCCTCCCCCACTTCCTTGCAAGGACAATTAGACGGCGGACACATACAGTTTTTTCCCCCGATCCGTGGCCGCCAGTCAGCCCAGTCTCGTCCCCCAACCGACGGGTGAATCCCCAGCAGCCGTTGGTCATTCGAATCCAGGATGCTTCGCTGGCGCCACACAGATTAGAGACATCCGCAGTCCCAGACGAAAATGAACAATTTGGTGAGTGGGCGGTGGCGGGGGATTCGGGTGTCCCCCTTGTCTGAATGTGTGTATCAATCAATCAATCACTCAATCCCTGCAGGAGCACGCCAAGCACTTCTATCCCGACAACTACAAATTGGATCTGTCCGAGACCATGAAGGCGGCTCTGTCCAAAGGACCTGGAGGCGGTGGCGGTGGAGGGGGCGTGGCAGGCGGGGATCTTCTGCCCCAGCCAAATGCCGGAATGCCAGGAGTGGGCTATGTAACCGAGAAGCTGTACATGCTGCTGCAGCTGTATCTGCAGAACAAGGGCTGGAATCCCAGTGCCGAGTTGCTGCAGTGCTTCAGCGATCTCAAGGACAACGCGATGCTGCCTAGCGCCGCCTACCTGCAGTGAGTAGGGGAGTGGTACTGGCTAATAGCACACTTAACTCCCTTTTTTTACAGGGTCCTGGCCAATCGCCTCACTCTGGACTCCCAGGGACGCCTAATCCTGCGCGACAATGGCAAGATTGTGCTGCCCTTCGAACACTTCGCCAATGCAGTGATGCTGAAGCACATGTCGGGGCCACATGGGCTGCACCTGAGCGTGGATGCCACGGTGCGGGCTGTCATCGAGTCGTACACCATCGGACGTGATCAGTTCGGCATGGAAAAGGAGTTCATCATCGAGGTGGTGCAGTCGTGTCCCAGCCCCGCTTGTCGCTACTACAAGAATCACATGGGAATCTCGCCCATGCCGTTTATGGAGCAGCAGTATCCGGGTGTGAATACGCCAGAGTTCCTGCAGCGCCTGTCCCACCTGCCGCCTGGCGGAGCAGCAGGTTCCGGACCGGGAGGATCGGCCGCCGGTTCCGCCTCCAGTGTGGCAAGTAGCTCGAGTTCGGCAAACGTGGAAATAGATCTGTCCAAGTCGACGGGAGCCAAGGTGCCCCAGGTGCCGGTACCCCCGCAGTTGCAGCATCTGACCAAGCAGCAGCAAAGCAGTATCCAGACGCAGCTCTCCCAGATCAGTGCTGCCGCCGCCCATCACCAACAACAGCAGCAGCAGCAGCAACAACAGCAGCAACAGCAACAACAGCAGCAGCAACAACAGGCAGCAGCCAAACACCAGCAGCAACTGACTGCGGCCCTAATCCAACAGCAGAACCGCGTCCTCGCCCAGCAGAGTCTCGAGAAGCTAAGCAATCACCTGAGTCCGTTGGAAAAGCAGCGCGTATTCGCTCAGCTAGATCCCAAGCACTTCGATCCCATGGCCGTCGCAGCTGCAGCCGCCAATCTTCAGATCCAGGGTCTGATGCAATCGCAGGCAGTGGCTGCCGCAGTGGCCGCTAACCAGCAGCCACCTCCGGCCACAACCACATCTGCGGCAGGAGGATCTGCAGCTGGTCCGCAGGCCCATCACGGACACCATTCTTTGCCGGCGCCATCACAGTCACCGCATTCGTCCTCTTCGTCCTCCTCCCACTCCTCGCTGGACCAGATTACCCACAAGAACGTGGCCGACTCCTTGCGGTGAGTGAAACAATCAAGTTAATCATTTTTTACTTTGTTCTTAAAATGTATACAAAATTTAAAAGAAATAAGTTTGAGCTTAATTCAAATACAATTAAATTATGAATTGTATTTAAATTATTCGACTCAAAACGAACCGTTTAAGATATTTGGCTATCAGCTATGCATATATGTTCTAGGTTCTAAAAAGGTATTTTTTAGATATACATATGAAATAAAAAAAAAATATTCTTATTAACTAAGATTCATTTTAATCTTAATTAATTATAAAGTTGTTTTAAATTTTATTGTCTTTATAATAATTATTTTTTTCTTTATATTAATTATCGTATGATATTCATATCTCGTTACATTGCTACATTTTCGACGATTTCAGATCTAACCTGGACTCGATAGAGTCGAATAAGGATCTGCTGGCGCTGCACAATGGGGCCTGGGCCACCGGTGACGCCAATCGCATGGATCACTTGGCCGTTGGCCAGGACAAAATAGTGCGGATCTTCGCGGAGCTTATGCGGAACATGTCGCGGATGAAAACCTACATACGTCCGTCTATGTGTAAACCCTACGGAAAGCAGAGCGAGAGTCTGCAGAAGAGTGAGTAGAAAACTGGGAACCGGTTCTGTTTGCCAGCAATCTAAGATACTGACCGACTCCTCCTGTTCTCTCCCTCTTCTTCTCCTCCGCAGCCCTCATGGACACCATTCAGATCGTGCAGACGCTGCGCAACTGCCTGCCCGCTCCCCACATACCCGTGTCCTCCTGGAAAAGCGAGAGCGAGGGCAACGTGGGATCAGGTGTGGGTGTGGGTGTGGGCGTAGGCGTCGGAGTTGGTGTTCCACCAGGACTCAACCTGAGCGCCGCCTTGGGTCTTCCATCAGGCAGAGTGGACAACATGCACTAGGCGTAGGATGGTGTTTGTCTAGTATCATGCATTATCTTTTGCATGCACCCACACTCACATTCTTCCAAGAGTTCGAAAACAATTAGTATTTACACGCAGAAATACGCCTAGATTATAAGTATAGCAGTTTACCCTCGTAGGCTTGGCTCCAGTTTTCCTTTTAGCAATTATGTGCCATGTTCAACACAAGACTTGATTTAATTTTCACATTTGACTGACATTTAGATATACAATGTATCGAATCCTGTGGTTGGATTCGTATAATTTCATTCTCACCACTCTGGGTTTCCTATTTGGCATGCAAAATTAACAAACAAAACGGCAAATTAGTTAAACAATTGGCAAAACGTCTGTGATATTTAAATTATGTTGGCAAAAAGGAAAGTGAAACTAAATTTAATTTATTATGTTGTGTGCCCTCTGTTGTAACGTCTTACGATTTACTTTGTGCAATATCTACTAAGCATCTATTCTTAGCCATTCTCGTGCAATCGACAACTTCTCGCCCATATCAAAAGCAACTCGAATATAGCCTATACTTAAACTAATCTACTGATAATCGACATGATAGACGCATAAGATTTACATTATATTTTGCATTAGTACTTCAGAGAATATGAAGTATACTTAGACGGAGGCCGCGGCGGCAAACAAGAGAGATTACGAGTTGTGTTTAAATTTAAGAAGCAGAAGAAGGGTTGTATTCCGTATGCAAAGGCTATTTAAATATATATTTTAACCCGCCCAAGCTCACCATTACAAGTAATACGATTAACGAGCAAACAGTATTATATGCAATAAAAGACACTTGCAAGTTGCAACCATAAGTATTTACCTAGCCGAAGTGTGGGAATTTATCGTAACATACCATATTATCGCTTAATGTTTACCTTCTGGACTTAATAAAAAATAAATATTTTATTCTACGACTAAATGGCGGATTTTTTTTTAAACTCAACTGGTGAATAATTTTGATCTGTCGATTTTAGAACTGTCCGCTAAAGTCATTAAACCTATACAAAACACGGAAACGAAGTCAATATAATTTTATTTGGATTAAAATACTTAACTCCTGATTTAAAATAAATTCAAATAGTCGTTGCCTATATACAAATTGGGACTGTATCGATTATTAACATTTTGAATAATTATTAACCATAACCATTATCCTAAATATATTAATTCTGAATATATTGTATTCAAATAAGTTATTTTTTAATTCAATTGAAACCTGGCATCACCGGGCGCTCCCATCGCTGCTGCAGTTGGCAACGTGCTGCAGCATTTTATAACCGGATTCCTCTGACAAATATTTTGGCACTCTGCTTAATGTACTACGTACATTACAAAAAAAAAAATTAAAATAAGAAAACCGTGACAACGTGGTAACGATTGTTAATATTTTTACTCCTTTTCGTGTTTATATATTGATTGTTCGATTTTATTTGAGAATTTAAAAATTTTATTTTTAAAAAAAATATACCTAAAAATATTACGTAATACAATTAAAAAAAAACGCTTGCTCCTGACGTGAGGTTTAAATCAAAATGTTAATTTTTAGTGGAGTCACTCACTTCTAGAATTTGAAAATATGTGAAAGTGGAATTCGGCTATTAGCCAGCATGCTGGTTAGCCCTAAGGATTTTGCCGTTCTCAGTTGACGGTCACACAGTGCGCTCCGAGCTGCGTTTTTCGTTGATAATTTTTAAATTTATTTATTAGTTTATTGGTTGGAAACAGAGCTGCCCCCGACTGCCCGATGACCCCACCCGGGCGCCCTCGGTCCACCGCCCCCCGCTTTAACCGACCATCGGCTATCGATATATACGCCTGACGGTAATTGGAGAACGTTTTTTCCATTTTATCTCCACCTTGTCCGCACTTCGTTTTGTGCTCTCTTTGTGCGCTGCCTCGCTTAACATTTGGGCCTAAATTGAATCCAATCGAAAAAGCCCCGCCGTGTGTGCCTGTGAAGTTTGTTAAATACCGCCCAACGGGCCAATGGCCAATATGCAATAAGAATATGTGTGTGCAATAATAATAGAGAACGGGGTGCCCCAAAACAGGAAAATGGTGCTAGACGCTCCTAACGCCGTGCCGAGCTGGCATATTTTGCTTAGCGACGCCGTCGGCGTCGATTTTTCCGGCCGCGAACTCTGCGCGAGGAATTTACAACAAAAACAATGAGAAAAAGAAATGGTATTTAAATTGTGCATCCGAAAACGATTTAGAAATGCGGAAAAGCGGTAAATGTCGATCCAAAGCGAATGTTTTTCTTTTGAAGGCCCTGTCTAAATGACGTCACAACAAGCGTAACAGAGTGCAACAGACAACAATGACCGATGAGCATAAAAGTAACATTAACAGTAACAGCAGTAACTCCAGCGACAACAACAACAGCAATAACAACAACACGGCAGCAAGTAGCAGCAGTAGCAACAACAACAATAACTGCAACGAGAGCAGCAACAACAACACTAGTGGAATAATTGCAGAGGCGGCCGCCAAGTTTCTACTGAAAAATGGCCTGAACGGGAGTAGTAGCAATAGCTTTCCCCCCCTGCCACCGCCTCTGGCCGCCAACTTAAGCAGGACGACCACGCCCACGTCTACGCCAACGCCCACGCCCACGCCCTCATCCTGCAGCTCCACCCCCACAAATGGCTTTTTGCCGCATGCCAAGACGCCCAAAAGTAGTAGCATCATGGCTGCATCCGCCGCAGTGGCAGCCACCATCGTTGGAGCTACTGCGTCCAAGCCCAGCATTGATGTCCTGGGCGGTGTCCTGGACTACAGTTCCTTGGGCGCAGCAGCCACTGGATCACTGCCCACCACTGCATCATCAGCGGGAACAGTAAAAATCGCCAAGGGCAGCAGTTCCGGCGGCAGCTTTGATATGGGCAGGACTCCAATATCGACGCATGGCAATAGCAACAACAGCTGGGGCGGCTATGGCGGCCGCTTGCAGTTCTTTAAAGGCAAGTTTCGTATTTATTTTTCCTGGCTCCCATTTAATATAATAATGTCTAACCTTTGGAATTCTTCTGCGTAGATGGAAAATTCATATTGGAACTGGCACGATCCAAGGATGGCGACAAGAGCGGCTGGGTGTCGGTCACGCGCAAGACCTTCCGCCCTCCATCGGCGGCCACCTCGGCCACTGTGACCCCAACGTCAGCGGTGACCACAGCGTATCCAAAGAACGAGAATTCCACATCGCTGAGCTGTACGTATCACATGGCATTCCGGTTCCCTTTGGAGTACCTTTTTTCTTAAATAGTCAATCCAATCGTGAATCTTATTGAATCAATTAAATTCGGTTTTAAAGTTAAACTAGATAGGGTAGCAGTTTAAGAAATGAGCTTACTCTTCAAAATAGTTCTTAATACACGTATGGGATAAAGTCCAATTTCGTACATTTAGCCTTTCTAAAAACATTTTATAAGTATAATAGTATTCAAAATCAATAAAATAATGCAAGAAGTTCGCGTCCCAATATCATTCAAAAGATAACCAATTAAAATTATTTTATTTTTATATTTTTCATCAATCCGCTAATAACATCCTTTTACTTTGTAGTTTCGGACGACAACAGCTCAATACAATCTTCGCCGTGGCAACGAGATCAGCCCTGGAAACAATCCCGGCCCCGGCGCGGCATATCCAAAGAGCTGTCACTCTTCTATCATCGCCCCAGGAACAGTGCGCTTGGGCGGGCTGCTCTCCGGACAGCCTCGCGCAAGCGTCGGCGGCCTCATGAGCCGTTAACCACCAACGAGGAGCAGCAGCCGATGTTCGAGGTGGCGGTAAAGGCGGAAAACGGCGACGATACTCTTAAGGCGGAAACTGCAGAGGTCGAGGAAGGAGGCGCTCAGTCGGAAAATTCCGCAAATGAGATTAAAACTGAAAAATCGGAAACGATCAAACGCGAGGAAGATGCTGAAGGCCCCGAGAAGGCGGTAAACGATGATAGCGAGTCAAAAGAAGCAGCGTCCGCTCTAAAGGTGGATGTACAACCAAAAGACGAGACTGTGGAGAAAATGAATACTAGTGAGGACGAGGAAGCTGTCACGGCCCCGCTTACAGTAAGCACGATTCCCGTGAACGGAGACTTAAACGGCGAACTGATTGCGAGGGTTGGGAAACCAAAACCGAAACAGCGGGCCAAGCTCAGCAGCATCATCCAGAAATTAATCGATGGCGTGCCAGCACGTCTAGAGCAAATGTCCAAGACACCAGTGGCAACAGCTACAACTACAACGGCGTCAGCAGAGCGAAGCGGTGGCGGAGTCATTGGAAGTTTAGGTCACTCCTTGACGCACAAGGTGAGTTTACTTAGTGTTACATAAACTTGTTTTTATTTTTTCAAAAATGTTAAAGGTTTAAATGAGTTTATCGTGTCTTACATAAATAAAACTTGAATTGACCATTGAATATCTTTTTTAAGGTTTCTCCGCCTTCGTCGGCATCAGCAGCTAGCCGTCTAGTCGAGTATCACCACCAGCACGTTTCGCCCAGGAAGAGGATCCTGCGCGAGTTTGAGAAAGTGTCGTTAGAGGACAACGGATGCGTGAACAACGGTAGTGGTGGTGGAAGCAGCGGTGGAGCTGGTGGCAAGCGAAGCCGCGCAAAGGCTTCTTCGACCTCGTCTGCGGCTGCCAAGGCGTCGCCAATTAATCTGGCCCCGCCCCAAGGAAAGCCGAGCCCCAGTCCCGGCTCTAGCTCATCCAGCACTTCACCAGCGGCGGCGTCCACGCAGCCAACGCGACTGAACAGCTCTTATAGCATCCACTCTCTGCTAGGTGGGAGCAGTGGCAGCGGCAGCTCATCCTCCTCCTCTGGCAAGAAAAGCGGGGACCATCCGGCGGCTATAATCAGCAATGTGCACCACCCGCACCACTCCCTCTACCAGTCCAGCTCCTCGGGCTATCCACGAGCGCTGCTCACCTCGCCCAAGTCTCCAGAAGTAACCGGCAGCAATGGCGGCGGAAAGTCTCCATCGCACGCTGGAGCCAAGAAGCGTTCGCCACCGTACACGGCTGGATCACCGCTACCAGTGGATTATGGTCACTCCTTCTACAGGGATCCCTATGCGGGAGCTGGTCGTCCTACCACAACGAGCTCGGCGTCGCAGGACCTCTCCCCGCCCCGCTCTTCGCCAGCATCGCCCGCCACGACGCCGCGCACTGTGCCCAAAAAGACTGCATCGATCCGGCGCGAATTTGCCTCGCCGTCAGCCAGCAGCAGCAGCTGTCCCTCGCCCGGAGATCGGAGTGCCTCGCCTCCGGACCGGCGGCACATGCAGCAGCAGCACCTGCAGCGCAGCTCACCTCTGCACTATTATATGTATCCGCCACCACCTCAGGTGAATGGAAACGGATCCGGCGGCAGTCCGACCTCGGCGCCAGTGACGTCGAGCAGCAGTGCAGCTGCAGTGGCGGCGGCAGCAGCGGCCGCAGCCACCTACATTCCTTCAGTGGTGTCGCCGTCGCTATACCACCCTTACATATCCACTCTGGCGGCGATGAGGCACAATCCGCTGTGGATGCACCACTATCCAGCAGGAGCTTCGGCCCTGCTGCCGCCACACCCACAGGCCGGTAGCTCAGCGGCCGCCGCTGCTGCAGCTGTTGCTGCTGCTGCGAGACTGTCGCCCCAATCGCCCTATCACGCGTTCGCGTACAACGGAGTAGGTGCGGCCGCTGTTGCGGCTGCAGCAGCTGCAGCCGCCTTCGGACAGCCCGCTCCCAGTCCTCACACGCATCCGCACCTGGCCCATCCGCACCAGCATCCACACCCGGCTGGGCTCACGACCCACCACTCGCCCGCTCACATGGCCACGCCAAAACTGACTGATAGTAGTACCGACCAAATGTCTGCAGCGTCCAGTCATCGCACCGCCTCCACTTCGCCGAGCAGCTCGAGCGCATCCGCCACTTCCGGCGCCAGCTCCTCCGCAATGTTTCATACTAGTAACCTAAGGAATGAACAAAGTTCAGGTGAGCAACCATCAGCGCGGCCTAATTGCTGTTGGCAATGGGAAAAACAAAGGTTTTGCCTTCAATATCTTTAGAACTTCAACTGCTACACAAATTTGTGATTAGATCGAAGCAGTTGTGCCCATCAACGTCTTTTGCACAAGTACAATACATATATGAATTTACTCTTATGAGTACCAGGAATAAAAATTTTATTCGACGAGCTATTTTGATCTACAAAATGATCATTAATTATAAACATCAATTAAGGGTCTATCTTAGGTTCCATTATTTATTAAACCCTATTTTAAATCACGAAGAACATAATATAAATACAACGTTTTTCTCTCCCTCAGACTTACCACTGAATCTGTCAAAGCACTGAGACATACACACGCCCAGCTGCCCCAGTTTCTGGGCCGACCATCGAGTTAAGTACATTATCGCACTAGTAGCGCTTAAGACGACATTCAACTACACGTAAAATTATTTCATAGGTTCGCTGATAATTTAGTTTTAACGTAATTGTTTTAGCCTAAGCCTAATCGTAGGTTCTTAATTAAGGCCGAACATTTAAATTACTAATACGAAAAGAGAAGAAAAACTACGGGAAAAAAAACTCAACTATGTTTTTTAACCAGTTCCAGAACTTTTTATACAAACAGTTGAGAAATGGAATTTTCGAAAAACATATTTAATATGCAAAGGAATTTTATTCTATGCCGACTAATAAAAAGTAATTTAATAAAAACATTTTTCTATAGGATGTATGAAATGAAAGTCATGAAGAATCTCAAAAAAGAGTTACGTTTTTTTCATCAAAACATTTCCTTGAAACAGACTGAACCTGATTTTTTTTTAGAAAAAAAAGATTAACTTAGTTACGGATCGCAGCATATAACTTTTTAAACTATATTTATCAAATTACAAGAACAGATTTTTTATAAAAAGCTTGTGCCTTTAAAGATGAAAATAAAACTAGGGATACAACAATTAATATGTAAACCAGAAGACAAATTTACTGAAAAAAGATAAAAATACGCAAAAAATAAAAGATATTCTATGGTAAAAACTTTAGATATCTTAAATATCGAGGTCCAAAATAGCAATCGACAGAAATTGGTGCTAGGTAGATTATATACGATTCGAATTGTTTTTAAAAATTTTGGAATCAATTTTGAAATTGATTTAGAAAGCTTATTCGAAATCAATTTTAAAATGCATGAGTTCCAATTGTAATGTTCACGATTTCATAGAATCATTTTGTGAGTTTTCTTTAAATTCATTGACTGACTCTAAAAGTTAAAATTTTTTTAGATAGGTAAAAAAAGTTCATATGTGAAGTTCAAGTTTAAATCCTCGAGGGATTTAAATTTAACCATTCCATTTGATGTCTTTCATTTACATTGTTGTATAACTTTACTTAGTGCCAATTCACTGTCAATGCTGTCCAATCAAAAACAAATGAAAATGTACAAAAATTCACATATACAAAATATTTACAAAAAATTTAAATAAAAAAAGATCCTAAACAGACAAATTCAAACCGGAATTCGTACAACTGAAACTAATACAAATAAAAAAATATTCCTAACGCAAAAAGACAAAAACAAAACGCGGTTTCTCATATTTTCTAAATTATTTATATAAATCAAATGACTATTTATATTTACGGATATGTTAATGTGTAAGTAAATAGTTGTAATTGTAAATACAGTATTTTTACACAACAACAAAGTAAACCGATACATGAGAAATAACCAATATATTTAAAATAACTATTTTTATAACGGATTTTAACAAAATACTGTATATTTTGTATCTGATTATGTAGAATAAAAAACAAAAGGATTCCATAAGAGGTCAAGAAGAGTTTGCACAAGGCCGATTGAAACTTGCTTAAAATTTGACTCTCTGTATGATGTTGTGAGAATGGAACCATCTGTTTTAAGCAGAACTAAAAAAGTTTCCAATTTCAAAATCAAGACACAAAATACATCCAGCTTGAACAATTTTAAGCAAGTGCCATTCGGCTAACCTTTTTAGTAAGCGTTACGAAAAAGATAACCTAAACGAATATAAATAAAATTTCCATAAAAATTCCATACGGTTTTTACTACCTACGGTTTAGTTAGTTAGCTAGGCGTCTAGAAACTATTATTTTATTTTTACTTTTAAAACGGTACTGTGTACGACGTTTTTGTTTTATTGAATCGTAGTTTTTATAATTTAAATATAGATGTTGCTATTGTTAAACACATGTACTTTCTGCATTGTAGAACAATGTGCGTAAACCCGAAAATAATGTTGGCAACAAGTGAAATATAAAAAGTAAGCAGAAGGGTTTCAAAAGGCTGCATCTTTTGATGTTGGAATGTGTGTAAAGTAACGGAAACAAAATTAATTTTAAAGAAATATATTTTATATAGGTATATATACTGAAACTCAACTTGATGTCAATAAAAACTTATACTAAATGTATGACAACTAATCTTTAAAAGTTTTGCTGAGTCGGGGATGATTAACTTACACATACATAGATGAAGGGCTCAGTCAAAATCTTTAACCCGATTTCCCATTAAAAACAACTATAAAATTGTTGAGACGAATACATACTATCGTAAACGTAGAAGCACATTATGTATCTATATTTTTCTTCTTTCGATTAAATTGTATACATTCGTTCGTTTATGTATTTTAATTGTTTCATTTAATTTTAGTTATCCAGCGATTTACAAAAAACGTACAAATATTAGAGAACATTACAAAATGAAACCGGAAACACAAACATTGATTTTGTTGCTGGTGACAGAAGCAGACAAAAATTATAGTACACAATTAATCGTAATGTAGGGATAGAAAATCGTAAATTTTAAACTTATTGAGTAAATGTCTAAAATTAATATAGCATAATAGGATACAATTTTTTGCACGTTCATGCGCGAGTGTGCATGTATGGGGGTGTTCAAACAACAAATGAATAATAGACAACAAAACAATTCCAGGGTCCAAGGGTCACTGTATGAGAGGGCGAAAATTGATTAGAATTACAAGAATGGGTGAACACATAAATTGTACAAAGTAACAGTAAAGTATATTGGAGCACTTGTGGGAGCGACATTATCATCTATGGGTCAGGGGGTTGTCTGTATATGAGGGGGCGTGTTGATCGGGTATATCTCGGCCTAACATAGTGAACACATAGTTTTGAACTTTATGAATTGGATACAAAATTGTACTATGCCTTTCGCAGAGGCTTAGAAAGGCGGGCAGAAAAGAAAAGTTGATCCATTTAGACTTGGTGAGTGGATTTGTTTGTATGGGAGATGTGGTTGACTTCTATACGGTCGTGTTGCCAAGTTCTTGATGTCAATGTAGTTGTCTGTTTATGGTTTGTTGTTTTTGGAGAAGTTGTGCGAGGCCCAGTTAAGGGAAGTCTTCCAGGAGTTGGCCAAAGCTTCGCTGAATTTCGCTCGGAAATGTTCGCGCGCTTTTTCCTCCGTGTAGTCCAGCACCTTAAATAAAATTTTGCGTTTAGTTAGTATGAGCTTCATCCAAAAGTTACAACCTAGGACATACTAAAGTTTCACGAAGGTAGTTCAAGTCGTTTTCGGAGGACAGTTCTGGCAGTCCCGTTGAAATCATCATTGAGAACAGCGATAAAATAAGGCAGCCGTGTTTTCGCAAAACTAAAAAGGCCTGCAAAAGTACATAGTATTAATATTCCGCCTAATAGATAGGTTTTGAGGGACTTACGCGCTCGCACAATTCCTGAAAGTGACAAAACTCTTTCGCCTCTCGGTCATTGCAGCCCTTGTTGATCACGTATACAAAATCATGGGTCAATACGAAGGGCACTCGCTCTCGCCGCACTCCAAACTTTTCCTTGAAGTGGCCCAGTATGTGACCAAAATCGATGTGAAAGAGCTAGGAACAAGATGGTGCTTTAATAGTTTTTTTTGGGAAACAATAGATTGGTGAGTACCTGTCCATTTCTTTTGACCATTATATTGTCCGAGTGCCGATCGGCCACGCCCAGCACATAAGTGGCAACGCAATAGCCAGCGCAGCTGAGCGTAAACTCGTTGATGGCCATGTTCAGTTTGTCGGGGGGCTTGTTGTGATCCTTAAGCCAACTGTAAAGGGAGCCCTTCTTAAACGCCGCCGTGGCGGAGAACATGCCCTTCTCCTTCTGGATGTTCGCAATGGTCTCTGCGTGAGGCACCACCTCAATCATGCCGAGGCGTTGCTCCATGCTAATGCAGTTGTATATGTTCATGCGAAAATCCATGCTGGCGGGGAGTTACAAATTTGATTATCTTAGTTCTGAATGCCCTTTGCTGCATTAGGCTTACCCATCACGTTTCCAAAGCTGGTCCATAACCCTTAGCATCTGCAGCGTGAGCATATCCTGGCGCAGATCATCGCCATTCTTGAAAATGATGTGCACATCGTTGGAATTCATGTCCGCGTTCTCGAAAACAACCCACAGCGGACGCATTTTGCTGTCCATAACCTTGCACTTATCTGGAGTTACGCCGCTGCACCGGAAGCTAGGATTAAGTGGATTCTGGATATTCTGAAAGACCCCCGAGTTGCGCTGATCCCGCAAAAAGTCCTGCAGCATTGTCTTCACCTTTTCCTTGCTGCCTAATTTGGCAATCTGCGATCCCTGTTTCAGCTTCTCCAGCACATGCAGCTGCTTGCGGAGTGGCGCCACGTGATGTTTGCAGCCCTTGAGATAGACCTCCAAGAGGAGACCAAACCGCGTCTGCATAGACGGCGTCTGCATCTCGGAGCGCAGGTGCCAGAAGAAGTAGTGACCGATCCGCTGGTTGCGCAGCGCTCGCTCTAGCAGAAACACTACCAAATCACTCTCCAGATAGGATTCGTGTTTGATGGCTTGGACCAGTTGGAGGAGGTACAGCAGCAGATCCTCGTCCCTGTAAAATATTATCGACATATTCACTTTGGCCAAACAATTTGCACATCAATATGAATTCGGATTATTTAAACAAACAAGACAATCTAAATTCGTTGATTGAACCTTCCTGGACGTTTTGGGGTGCTATATACATAAAGGTCATAAAATATATTGGTATTCGGAAATAAATACCAATTCTAATTTTCCTTAAAGAACTAAAACAAAAATGGCACAACATTAAGGATGATCGTACTTGAGAAAGTGTAAACACCGGATGGCAAACCGCCGCACAGCCGGATCTGGATAGGCGTAGTCCAGTAGCTCCAGGGAGCGCTCAATGGAAATTAGCGGCCACTGCTTGAGTAGATACCAGATGTCAGCCACGTCATCTCGTTCCTTCCAGTAGACGCAGTGAAGCAGGATGGACAGCTCCTCGGGAAGCTCTTGCATAATGTCGTTTCTGCCAGTATCAGAAATCGTTACATGAGAAAACTGCATTTGCCACATAAACAGAAAAACTTTACCTTCGTTCCCAAATGGCATTGCGGTCCTGATCAACCATCTCGTATATCTTGTCCAGCCCCGTATAGTTGGATAGCAGATCCTTCAGTTCTTTAAGAGGCTTTTCCGGCTCCGCCTGCTGCTGCTGCAGTTGGTTATCCCTCCAACTCCGATCCGCGGCGTACTGCAACACAACCTCTTCGCTGGGGTATCGCACGTTTCCGGTTCCGCTGCTGTGGAATGTGATGTCCACCAGAGCGCACCCTTCCTTGCGCGGGTTAGGTTCGATGGTTCCCAGAGGGTGGAACACCTCGTCCGACTGAATGTCGTCCGCATACGTCCACGTGTACAGCGTCTGACGACCGGTGCGCAGGGTGTCCTTGTAGTCAAACAGCGTTGTGTTCACCCAAGCCAGCGGGTTTTTGTTGTAGGATACGTCCTTGAGACCGCTGTCCTTGTTGTTGGAGGACTTCTTGGAGCGCGACATCTTGGTCACCTCAAAGATCACAATACAAAGGCGCGTCATTCGTGGCAGGTTCCGCATCTGTATGTCAAAGTCGATCACCTGGTCGTTAAACAGGAACGTGTTAAAGTTGCCGTTTGGCGAGTCCGTCGTTCGCTGCGAGCATAGCTTGTGCTCGCCGTGGAAGAGGCCGAGATGGACGCCCACCCTGAAGGCGCGCGCCTTATCGTAGTTCACATTCGAGATGCTGTGCAGCGTCAATTGGAAGAAGTTGCCCATGTCCCACAGCGAGGAGGGCGTCTTGGGGAGAAGGGCGGGTTGCTTCTTCGGAGGCGGCCGTTTGGGGACCATGGCCTGCTCGTTGTGGTGGTTGATGTACGACTCCAGGCGGTACACCGACTGCAGCACAACATTGGGCACCGCCGAGTCTGAGAGCGTCTCTTGGATGTACAGAAACTGGATCAGCGGATAGTCGCCGAGCAGGTACTCGTCGCGACCGCTCACCTTGAGTATGTAGTCGGCAGCCCGGTCATTCATCTTCATCTGTGACCGGTTCATCTTCTGCAGCGTGCTCTCCGTAAGTGAAAAGGGAGTGTCCTGTTCGTTAACCGACAGCGTAAATGTGCTTTGGTCGTTCTCGTTCTTGACCACGATCAGGAAGGTCTTGGTCTGATGCCGCTCTCGGATCAATTCGGGCATCTTCGTCGAGTCGGCCAAACGTAACGGGTGCTCGTACAGAAGGCGCTGCTGCCAGGTGTAGATGCTGCGCTCCAGCTCAATGTTGTCGCACATCTGCGTCATGAACAGCCGAAAGTCGTCCATCTCGGGCGTGCCTTGCGTCCGGTGGTGGTCAAAGGACTGACCGATCATCCCGCTCACCATCTTGGTGAGCTCATAGTCGCTGGAGATGGTGGTGGTGTCGGCGCGATCGCCCAGGGTGAGCAGGCCGAAATAGGGCTGCACCTCGCTCAGTCGCTTTGTCTCGTCCGTGTAGGGTTCGATGTTAAAGGTCGAAATACCGTACACTTGGTACTCGCAGGCATCCTTGATCACATAGCTCAGCGGCATTTGTTTCGCCTGATTAACCATTTCCGCCTTGACCATCTGGATGGTCGTGGCCGGGTTGACCCTTAGTCCTAGCAGGAACCCATTGGGCAGCAGGCAGATGAGCTCCACATAGTCCAGACGATCGTTCTTCCACAGGTTGACGGAAAAGCGCATGCAGGGCGTGTCCATCTCGTCTACTGGTGGCTCATATTTGACCTGGTGCTCCGCGAAGGCCAACTGCCGGTTGTTCATCATGGCGACGCCAGCGTGGTTCATGGCTTTCTGATCCTCGAACCCCGATCGTCAATCTAGGATCGGAGGATCACCAGTTCCTCCTAGTTGGGCTTCTATGTGTCGTTTTTGAACTTATGGTGGCTGGGCTTTCTGGCTTTGATTGCAGTTTTTAGTTGGGCTGTCTCCTTTTTCGTTATCAGACTGTTGTTTTCAAAGTTTTCCATTTAAATCAGCTCGACAATCTCATTGTTAGTCATCTCTGTGAATAATAAATCAGAAGGTGGCGCCGCGTTACTTAAAAGTAAACATATGGCGATTGCCGATCGACTGTTTTGGTGCTTAATTACCGACATTACTGAAAAACACTCGCCCACCCGTTGATAAGAAGGTGACCCCCGAGCTTCCCTCCCAAGATCTATAGAGATCCGTCGTAAAAAAGAGTCAGTTTTATCCGCTTTGAAACCACTTGGGATAATCCCTCCAATGCTGTGTTTTTAAATTAGAAAAGGGTGGAAGAAACTGCCTCTGAATCTTTAGTTCTTGTTAATTAAATGCAAAAACGCTGACTTTATATTTAGTATGAATCACGCAGTCATAAGTTGAGGGGCGGGCTGGGAGGGGTCAACTTGAAAACAAAAACAAGAATGGAAAATGAGGTGAACCAAGTCGACCTTTCAATGCACTAACTTGTTTTGAAGAGAGGTAGTGGCCTTTTGCAATTGAAATGACCAAGTTATACGATTATAAGATTGTGAAAGATTGATAAGGATGTGATGAACTTCAAAACATGGCCCTTAAAACGACATATCAACGGAGGGGGGTCAAATTCCATGACGGAACAGGTGGAGTTGAACCCGCGGAAAGGGTATGCAAAAAGTTACGCGGCACCGATGTCTCATCTCTAAGTCGCGATGCCACAATAATGGAAAATGCAGCTAGAGGGAAAACCCATGAGGAACGCGCGAGTCTTGAACTTTTCCATCATATTTTCACTGGTATTTTGGCCTGGCCCGTTTGTTTTTGTTTTTCTTCACCATTTTGGCCAGCCCTCGCCTAATTCTCTTTTTTTTTTGGGTGTGAGCTGCGCAGTTGCTTTTGCTCCTTACTTGTCTTCCCGCACCGGCATCCACTGTTGGCCACTTTCGGCCATTACGCACTATTATTGTTTTTCAAATGCACCGTCTAAACATTTCGGATTAGAGTTTGATTAAGAAATATTTAATTGTTTTTATTTGTATTGTTGAGTTACGTGCTGTTAAGCGTCTGTTAACCTGCACAGGGTGACTACGGTTAGCCACAGGGCGTGCCATGCACAAAGAAAAATACACGAGCCGAGAAAAATACCAGAAACTGTGACCACTTTATCTCGCCTCACGAGGCTGAGAGCATCCTTGGCATTCGAGCTGCAAGTCGTCAAATTTGAAAATCTTGATGCTCTTCACAAATATTTAATTTCTATAGCTCGATTTGTAAAATGTTTTTCATATTTTTAATAAAAAAATAAAGAACAACAATCTGTGTGCAGCGTTATTAACAAGCAAACGTCTCCCTGAAGTTAGCTTTAAAAATTCCAAAGTATCTGATTTATAAAAATAATCTTTTCTTTAAACCACCTCACTTGCAATCGAAACCCTAACATCGATAATGTTTTTCAAAAACTCGATATTGATGCTATCGTTAGTGTTTTTTGTCCAGCTCTAACATATTTCGGATTTGTTTTTATTTATTCCAGCATTCAGCCATAACAATTCGAAAATTTATCTGAAATGGAAATGTCAGACGGCCAACCATTCGAAAAGCGCATCAAAACCGAACCAGGTAAGTCTTTTTTAACATATATAAGAGTGCAGTTTATCAGTTCGTTAATTTTTTAAAGAAATTATTCTATCGGAGCCAGATCATCACCTAATTTCAAACGTTTCAGGTAATTTAAAAACTCTAGTTATTGAGTTTTTATTTAAGTTTATCAATGAATCTGTTTTGCAGATTATGATCATCTGGAGCTAACAACACAGGAGCGCATAATATCTGTTATTCGAGGTAATTCACTAAAAAAATTTTAAATTTATATTAGGTCCCAATTTATAATGTATTTACTATTGCTTTTTCAGCGGAAAATCAAGAACTAAGGGGATCCCTTGAAGCGCTACAGAGAAATGTAACATTGCTCTCAGAAACAGTGGTCTCTCAGACGGAATTAATCAAGCAATTATTGAACCGACAGCAGATCAATAGTATATTACAAATTAGCACTTTCAATTTTCCCATAAAAACAGAAGAAGATCTGTTCTACATAGACAAAGATATAACGTTGGTCTCCCAAGTCAAATATGTAGGTCAATTAATTAATTAAAATTGTATATTCATATTTAAACTATTTATTTTAAACAGGTTAATGAAATGAAAAATATATTTAGTCAAGCGCCGCTATCGAAATCATTAAAAAAGGTTCTGGCCGTAGAACTAGTCCTGGACTTTAATATAGACGGGGTGCAAAAGAAGAAAAGTCTGCGAGCTTACAAACAATTTTTCTCTGCCCTTATGGGTAGGTTATAATATAAATTGAAACTGTTACATTTTATTAATAATATATTTTTTTAGAGGCCGTTCGGTTGACCGATAGCACTCAGCCTGCGGAAAAGGCACTCCGAAAAGCCATGCATTGCGTTAAAAACAATGCATGCAAAAGAAAAGTAAGGGCAGAAAAAAACTACATTATCGATTTGGAATAAGGCAAGAATTATAATAAAAAGAGTGATAATTAGAAAGTAAGGAAATAAACGAGTTATTTTAAAATCTTAAACTCATATACAAATTGTGGAAAAGTTTTTTGTGAGTGTGGATAAAGGCCATGAAAAATAAATATCATACGTGATTCAGCATTGATCATTCCTGGGTGATTCATATAATTCGGAGTCACTAAAAAATTGCGCCAACGCACATGTCGTACAAATAAGAACAAACGGACACATTTTGGTGATAAGCCGTTATTCTAAGAATTTAAATTATAAAACAAAGAAGTTTGATGTAATAATCATATGATACTATTAATCATGAAATGTTTTTAAATACTTTCTTATTGTTTTTCTGGAGCATAAATATATATTTGTCTTATACAAATCAAAAGAAAAGTACAAAGTCAGTGTGAATGGGCTATTGAATCAGTTGACAACCCTAAAAAATCGGTTAAGGCTTTGACTATTTGCATAATCTGGTCTCACTACAAAAAAGGTAAACAAAGTGAAAATTTCGCGAAATGTACAAATAAATTAAATAAGAGTATAAACTGGTGCTAAACCTATGTAGTTTGTCCCCAAACCTCAAGTAATAGAGAGAAGGAAATGAACGACTATAAAGCCTGGTGAAAATCATATAACAAGCAATGAGCGACTCCGATGAAGGTGAGAACAAAATTATTAAAAATAAAACAACTATGTATGTATGTTTGGTATTCAGTCTAGTTGTTAACCTAGTCGAATTGCAATTGTTCATAAACCTCTCCATAAATAGATTTAATTGGACCAATTTAGTCTCCAAACAGTTGTTATTGGTTTTTCAACAACACTAGCACTCACAGGGTGACTCGGGTGCAACTAAAGTGTGCGCGCAAAATTGTTTATTTTTAAATGCCACCTCCCAAAAAAGCAACTGGTGCGCTGCAACCACTGGACCATTTGACACCCACGCAAAAAAAATCAAAACAAATGCCACGCACCCAATGCCAGTCCCTGACCACGTGCAAAAGTTGCCGTGCTTCTTCAGGCTCGTCTTGCGCAGTGCGTCGAAATCCAGCCTGGATCAATGACCACAAAAGCGTGGCCCGGGCAACGCATCAATGGCACAGCAATCGATTTTCCCCATCAGTTCAGTTTTCGCAAGCGCCGCGTTCGGTTCTCTTCTCCGATGCCAATTAATTTTTGGGGCTCTGTCGCGCCGATTTGGGTTACATAATGTCTTGGAAATTCAGCATGGAGCAGGCCAAGCCTGGCACCGAAACCGCTCTGGAGGCCTGCGACTATTTCGTGGATGAGGTCATTGAGCCGTCCTCACTACGGGGTGGGCGTTGGAGAAAACCCAAGGGTGTTGGTCCATATGTCTAACGCTAGGATAACTCTCTTTCATAGATGCTCGGGAGGAAGTGCGTCAGATCAAGCATGGAGAGCTACGAGCATCAGTGAGTGCCGGAGATGAGCGGACTGTGCGGGTCCTGCTGGCGGCCCTGGGGACTGAGCGGCAGATTATAGTCAATATGGCTCCTGCAGGAGCGAATACTCTGCTTTTCATGTAAGAAAAAGTATTTTATAGATTATTATAAGTTAATCTAATGCCAATTCCTTTTCAGAGCTTGTCAGTCAGGATATGAGAGCATCACCCAACGGCTGCTGGATGCTGGAGCGGATGGCCGTTCCCATGCCGTCACCAAATACTCACCTCTCTACGCCGCCGTCCATAGCGGTCACTTTGGCATTGCCCGGCTGATACTGGACCGCTTTCCGGAATTGATCCAGCAGCCAACCGTCGAGCGCTGGCTCCCGCTGCACGCGGCCTGCATCAATGGACACATCAAGCTGCTGGAGCTTCTTATCAGCTACAGCTATCCTGACTACCTCTACCAGACATATCGCGACGAGGAGGGCCAGTGGGAATGGCGGCTGCCCTTCGATGCTAACGCCCACGATGTGACAGGTCAGACCAGTCTGTATATAGCAAGCATTCTGGGAAACAAGCAGCTGCTTGGGGTACTCCTCAAATGGCAGCTTCACTGCCGCCGTACGTTGGGCGATTCCGCCAGCTCGGTGAGCACTCCTATCACGCCCACCAGGAAACGCATTTCGTTTGGCATTCAGGCCATCATGTCCAAGCTGCACATATCTAGTGAACTGGAAGGTCCCGAAGACCAAGCTACCCAGGAGTCAACAGAATGCCAAAAATGTCCCATCAACGTTAATCTTCTGTGTGGAGCGGCGAGGGAAACAGCATTGCTTGCGGCGGTTCGGGGTGGCCACTTGGACGTGGTACAGGCTCTTCTGCAACACGGAGCCAATCCTAATATTGTGGCTAAGCCAGTGGAGGATCACAACGACCCCAAGTGCTGCGAGGAGATATATGGACTGAGCAATGTCCCTATTGCCGAGGCCTGCAAGCAAAAGTCCCTGGCAATGTTGGATCTCCTGCTGAAACATGGAGCCCACGATGAAAATGGTTCGGCTATCGGCATGGCCATAACTGGCGGCGATGAGGCAATCCTGAGTCGCCTCTTGGCCCGACGGGTACATCCGGACTCGGACTACAAGATCAACAAGAAGGGCCTACCGACACCGGTGGAGGTGAACGTTTTTTTGCCGTCCACCAGCAACATATCGTACAGCGCCATGTTCCCCAACGTACCCACCATCATCGACTGGCACAGCTTGGGCTCCAGCGTTCAGTTGTCTGTGGTAAGAGTGCCCTGGATGGTCAGTGGAGTGCTGCTCCTGAATCCCAAGCTGCAGTCGCATCCCCGTCTTAACGAGGTTGCTCTGACTGCAATCACGCGAATCGATTTCTCGCACAATGTTCTCACAGCAATTCCGCAAGAATTGTTCCATCTGGTTAGCCTGAAGTAAGTGAAATCCAAAAAAATAATTTCTTAAAAGACAATAATAACAAAACAATAATTAATTGTATTCGTTTAGGTATCTTAATGTGGCTCAAAACAAGATCACTGAATTACCCGCGCCCATGGGTAAAACCTATGCCTGTCCTGTTCTGGACGAGCTTTTTCTGCAAGACAACCAATTAACAACTTTACCGGCTGCCATCTTTCACCTTCCTGCTCTCTCTATTTTGGATATTTCAAATAACAAGCTGCAACAGCTTCCCTTCGACCTGTGGCGTGCGCCCAAGCTGCGCGAGTTGAATGTGGCCTTTAACCTATTGAAAGATCTTCCAGTGCCGCCGATGCAGACGAGCAGCTCACTTCTGAGCCTGGATAAACTGCAACTGCAAAGTTTCGAGGAGCCGCAGTCAAACAAGCCGCGAAACGTGACTCAGCAGCGGCTAACCCATCGCAATCTCTGGTCCGCTTCGTTAGACATAACCGACAACGACATGAAATGGCAGAATGAGCAGGATTTCGGCGACGGAAAGACACCTGGAATGGGTTCTTCACAGCTTAGTAGTCTAAATATAGCGAATAACTTGTTCACCAGCATTCCGGCTGCTTTGCCCTGTCTGGCGGTTAATTTAACCCGGCTAAACATGTCATACAACAGTCTGCGTTCTATGGGCCATGTAACAAGCTATCCGGCCACGCTAAAGCAGTTGGATCTAAGCCACAACGAGATCTCTTGCTGGCCAAGTTTGCCTCGGATTACCGAATCGGATCCGCACCTACTGTGTTACAGCTGTGTCCAGCTGCCGGAGGGTCGGGAGGAGGAGCAAGCTTACAAGACGACGTCCTCAAAGGGGAGCTGCTCCTCCGTCACCTCCTTCCGCGCTTCGGTATTGAAGAGCGTGTGCCGGCACAGGCGTCATCTGCGTCTGGAGGCGCTGCGCACGTTGATCCTGGCGGACAACCTGCTCACACGCATCCAGCTGTCGACCGACGACGCCACAACGCTGTTCAATGAGAGCGAGGACGCCGACTGGAGTGTGGTAGGCGTGAACCGATCCAAGGTGATATTTCCCAACCTATCTATGCTGGATATGACCAATAATTGTCTGAAGGAGATTCCCGCCTCGTTGCACGAGCTAAGCAGTTTGTCAGTGCTGAACATTAGTGGAAACGTTAATATCACAGAGCTGCCGCCCCATTTGGGGCTTCTCTCGCGACTTTGGAATCTCAACACGCGCGGATGCCTCCTGCAAGAGCCACTGCGCTCAATGATCGAAAGCAAGAAGCATAAGACTATGGACATCGTGGGCTACCTTAAGTCTATCTACGAGGATGCTCAGCCTTATGCGAGAATGAAGCTGATGGTTGTGGGTGTGGCTGGAATCGGCAAGAGCACACTGCTCGATTTGTTGCGCCAGGGTGCGGGATCAGGTTCCAGCTCCAGTTCGCATAGATCTCGCGCCAGCGAAAATCATTGGGCCAAGCGAATGGGACTCGCGCGTAGCACCTCTCGATCGCACCGCCATTCTTCCGCCTCCAGCGCGAATATATCCACGGTAGGTGTGGACATCGGAACCTGGATTTGTGAGAAGCGGAAGCGAGCGCCCGGCTCCCATGGGCCGGTGGTGTTTCGTACTTGGGATTTTGGCGGCCAGAAGGAGTACTACGCAACCCATCAATACTTCTTGTCCAAGCGGAGTCTGTATTTGGTGCTGTGGCGCATCAGTGATGGCCACAAGGGTCTGGCGGAACTGCTGCAGTGGTTGGGCAACATTCAAGCGAGGGCTCCAAACTCTCCCGTAATCATTGTGGGCACACACTTTGATGCGGTCGGCGAATCCATCTCTCCTCAGCAGGCGGAGCAACTGCAGCAACTAATTCGGGAGAAGTTCATTGCTATTCCCGATGCGGAAAAAATCGGGCTGCCACGAGTGATTGACTCCATTGAAATTAGTTGTCGGTAAGTGTTGTGTGATTTCTTAATGCAAAATTATTTTGTAAAACTACAAATTCTATCTTCTTCGTTTTAGTACCCTACATAACATCCATTTGTTGGCCAACATCATTTACGACACCGCCATGCAACTGCGGTCTCCTGGCTCCAAGGAGCCAATGCTGCTGCAGAAGATCCCCGCCAGCTACATTGCCCTAGAAGACATTGTGAATGTGATTGCCTGCAATTTACGCGCAGCTGGCCGAGATCCTGTCCTGGATGGCGAGCAATACAGGCGCTTGGTCACCGAGCAGATGCGTCTGCACAATTACAAGAGTTTTCGGGATGCCGCTGAGCTGCAGCAGGCAACCACTTGGTGCCACGAAAATGGAGTTTTGCTGCATTACGACGATGCTACGCTCAGGGACTACTACTTCCTAGATCCGCAGTGGCTTTGTGACATGCTGGCCCATGTGGTCACCGTGCGCGAGATCAACCCATTTGCCCCGACGGGTGTAATGAAGTTGGACGATCTCCAGCTGCTTTTCCGCAGTGTACAAGTTCAAGGAAATGGAAACCGGAGGTGAGTCTTTAACTCTTTAAAATTGAACTTTTTTGACATCAAACAAAAAATTACCTATCAATTAATAAAAGCCCCAAATAGTTAAAAATTGATCGTACTAATTGTCTGTAATACTTTTGTAGCTATATTGTAAGCTTGTTGAACAAGTTCGAAGTAGCACTGACGTGGGACTCGAGAACTCTGCTCATTCCGTCCTTGCTGCCAATGCAAGAAGCAGCTACGCCCAATTCTGGTAGCACAGTGAAGCTTTCGCAACGTTCCCGCGGTCGTAGTTTAGGTTGCTCCGTCTCGCAAGAAGTTAATCTCAATAATCTGATCTATGAACAGAGTTCAACCCATTCTTCACCATCTTCATCTGCTAATGCTAGTCAGGGACTGCGACGCATTCTTCTGATGACTTATTTCCCGTCGGGATTCTGGTCGAGATTAATAACGCGCATTCTAGCCGATGAACAGATCATCGAGGCTATCCGTGGCGTATATGTAGCTTCGCAGGAAGTAAGTAAAACACTTTAAAACTGTTAAAAATTAAATTATTTATTTTTCAGAAGTATGTGGATTTTGATCTGCGCACATCATTGGAGCAGGACACCCAATGGAATCTGTGGCAGACAGGCCTAGCCCTATACTATGGACCAATCTTAATATTTAAGATCTGGGAAGTCCCCTTTCAAAACACAGAGCGAACGCAACCGCTCCGCACAAATGGCAACCGCTTTAAGCTGAAATTAGATGGTATATGGAGCGACGTCAATCTGAGCTCCTCTAGCATTCTGGAAGTCTACTTTCCACTTCATGAAGTGAACATATCCCAGGAAGTCGATGACCGAGAACGCCAGTTGTTGGCCGAACTGCAGCCGCATTTGTCCCAGGTGGCCAAACTGTTGGCCCTAGCAGTGGATCATATTGATTTACTTCTAGAGGATTGGTATCCTTCGCTGGGAACGCGGTTTGTTCACACTTCGGAGGGCCGGTTTCTGATCACGCGATTGGTGTTGTGTCCGCGCTGTCTCTGGAAGCTGCAGTTGCAGCACAGCAACGAACCTGTGGATCGGGAGCTGCCTCCCATGGGATGCAACAGACCAAGTCGAAGTAGCAGACGAGGGGCGGGAGCATACTTCCTGCACGGCGTAGGTGACCCCGGTGAGGACGGTGCTTTGAACGTGTTTTCTGCATATCTTAACGCCACAGCAAGAAGAGAGCGACGTTCCGAGGATTCATTGGGAGCCGGGTCGGATGCTGACTCAGGCGTGGGTCCCGATTCCGCTGGTTCGTCACGCAACACTTCGGTTGACGGACATCCAGGCTATCACCTGCCTGATAACTCAAATGTTTGCTACGCCTGGATGATTGAGGAGTGCATCCTGTCCGTTTACAATCAAAGCAAGATCAGCTGCCCAGTGCATCTTGAACAGTCGATGGCCCAACTAGCTCCGGATGTCATATTTGCTGATATACCTGATAAGCACACTATTCCACCCGAGTGCATCATAAAGGGATCACTGCTCGGGCGAGGAGCATTTGGATTCGTCTTCAAAGCGAACTGCAAGATAAGGGGCGCCAGATCCTTCAAGCCGGTTGCCATGAAAATGCTCCAGCCAGTTCCTCCCGGAGCTCGGGCCAAGGAGGTGAGTAGTCAAAATTTGGAAAAACTGTTTGCAATTTTATCGGCTTACCTTCATCTTTAGAGCGCTTTGATGGCCTTTAAAGTGGCTTTAGGCAAATGGGACCGGGATCCGTTGCAGCACTCCTGCAAAGCCTACTGTACTGCTCGTCAGGAATTGGCCGTACTACTAACACTTAAGCATCCTAACATTGTGCCACTGGTGGGGATCTGCATTAAACCATTAGCTTTGGTCCTGGAACTAGCTCCTTTGGGCGGTCTGGACGCTTTGCTTCGACAGTACCGACGCAGTGGCGCCCACATGGGTCCGCATACATTCCAGACCCTTGTACTGCAGGCGGCGCGGGCAATCGAGTATCTGCATCGAAGAAGAATAATCTACCGTGATCTAAAGTCGGAAAATGTTTTGGTTTGGGAGCTTCCGCAGCCTCACACCGAAGACAGTCCTCGCAACCATGTGCACATTAAGATTGCCGATTACGGAATCAGCCGGCAAACCGCTCCCAGCGGAGCAAAGGGTTTTGGCGGTACCGAGGGCTTCATGGCTCCCGAGATTATACGCTACAACGGTGAGGAGGAATATACTGAAAAGGTGAGTTAACAAAATCTTCAATGGTTAATTTAAGTATAATAACTCATTTATTTATTCATTTTTTAACCTATTTTTGATTTTAGGTGGACTGTTTCTCATTTGGCATGTTCATATATGAGAATATCAGTTTACGGCAACCTTTTGAAGGACATGAATCCATAAAAGAGTGCATCTTGGAGGGCAGTCGGCCGGCTCTAACGCAAAGAGAGACGCAATTTCCTACCTGCTGTTTGGATTTAATGGTTCTCTGCTGGCATGAACAACCGCGTCGCAGACCTACGGCCAGTCAGATTGTCTCCATACTCAGTGCCCCGGAGTGCATTCACCTGCTGGATGTGGTTGCCATGCCGCACAGCGAGAAGATTGTGTGTGGAGTGTTTCAGTCGCTAGTCGGCGTGGGCGATGAAGAGCGGTGCGGACTAGAGCTGTGGCTGCCCTCCTTCGGCTCCCGTATCGACATCCTGGACTGTTCGCCTTCCGGCAGCCTGCTTCAGTGCAACAGCATCAGTTGCTCTCCGCAACCACAGGCGCCGCCTAAGCCCGAAAACGGGGCCCACTCACGTGCCCGTTCCGCACAACGATCGCCCAAAATGAACATGCTGTGCTGCTGCCTAGTGGGCGAGGCCATCTGGATGGGCGACGTTTCTGGCAACCTGCACTCCTATAGCACCTCCACTTACGCCCACTTATTTTCTTACATGCTCGATCCGGCCATTAAGTCAGCTGTGATCAGTCTAGTCTACATGGAAAGGATAGCTCGCGTGGCCGTTGGTACACATAATGGTCGGGTGTTCCTGGTGGATGCCACTCAAGTGCCCAGCAACTGCGCTTTTGCCGAGGGCTCATTTGTGCTCACAGAGATCTGTTCTGGTTTTGTTTTACATGCTGCTTGCTCAGTTTTTGTGGATGGGTAAGTTTACATATCTTCAATTGTTGCTCTTGTTAGACTGAAATAATTTATCTGTAGAAACTATGAACTATGGTGCGGCGAAATTGCGGGAAAGATAAATGTGTTCCCATTGAACGAGACCGGAGTTTCCGGCCATCAGGCTCTGTGCCACAGCGAGGAGCCCAATTTAATAGAAGACGTCAAGGTGGCCCGTATGTGCAGCAATGACAGCCACGTCTTCAGTTGCCTATATCCCGGCTGCATGGTGTATCAGTGGGGCGTGGTTTCCAAAAAAATAGAGAACAAGCTGGACTGCTCCAAGCTTCTGCCTTGTTCCGAATCCCTGCAAAGCATTGCGATCGATGAGCACGTGAACTTGATAAAGTGTCAGATTTCTGCACTAGCAGCTCACAATACTGAGCTGTATATTGGAACCACCTGGGGTTGCCTGATCGTGGCCGAGCTGCACACCCTTCGTCCTATTAGCGTCTTTCGACCCTATGAAAATGAGGTAAGGATGGGGGAATAGTATTTTTCAGCGTTAAAATTAACTTATTTCTATTCCTCCTCTAGATAAAATCCATAATAACGCTTTCTAATGACAAAGTGCCCCTGATCGCTACGATCGGTAGACGATATCGCTCGCTAATCTCACGCTACGTAGACTCCGCAGAGACATCCACTATGGGCTCTGCCGCCAGCACACCCACACATGGTGCAGCCAAATCCGTGCCACCGGCGGATGTGGATAATCACATTCATTGCCTGCTTTGGCGCGCTAAGCACTGGACCTAAATTCGATCTCATTCGAAATATTTGTTGACGTATTGTATTTAATATTCCACTTACACACACAAAATTGTTATGCAAAGTGCTAAAAATAAGGAATGGTCGCTGATTAGGATTTAGTTTCTGTCAAACTAGTGTTAGCTTAACTTACTTTTTGTAGAAAGTTATAATTTTACAGATTATACAATTTGCTTTCTTGCCAAATTAATGGTGCAACATAACTTATATTAACCTTAAATCTCATTTAAAAAACTTTATCTTGTAAAGTGTTTTACAAGTGTTTAAAGCATTTACTTTTATTTGCTATGACCTATCGAGATTTTACGTTTTCAAAAGTTATAACTTTTTGTTTAAAGAGAGGTGTTTTAATTTTTTTTAAATAAAATGCTTTTTTTAGTTTTGTGAAGAATGACTCGTTAAGATTTGTATTCCTCCTAACGCCTTAAAATATGATCAAAACAAATTCTAAATGTATACTTTGATAATTTATTTTTATTTGTAAGAAAAAATTAACTACATTAACTACATTCCGCAGCTCAGTTTTAGAAGCATTTTAATCTTTTAATAAAAACTTGCATCGTAAATATTTTTTTTAGATAATAATATACCACCTGGAAATGTGGTTTAAAAAAAGGATCGGCATTACCAAAAGTTTTTTGAAGCTGATTATAACTAGGCGAAATAAAGCTAATGTTATATCTTCAAATTTCAATTACGAGTCCTGGGCCACAGAAGCTACCGACATGGAGGACTGACGGCTGCGCGAGTAGATGGAAGCCGAGTTTTTCAGCACGCGCACATAGTTATTGAAGTCGATTACGAACTGGAACTCCTCCTTGAGAGCATCGCGCAATGGAACCTAAAATATGATTGCCAATAACTACGGTTATATACATAAAATAATTTGTAAACCCACTCGATAATGGTGAGCTTTCTTCATCACAAACAAGACCCAGCTAATAATGCCGTAGAGCAGGGCGCCGCAACTTCCGACTAGGAGTACTAAGAACACGCCCTCCAGGTTGTTCATGTCCAGGGGCGTGGCATCTGGAGCCTCCTCTTTGGTGGCGCAAATTCCGGTGCCCACCTCGTTCCACCACTTGTTCTTCATTTTCTCCAGCACTCCCTGTTCCTGCAGCTCAAGCAAAGCATTATTGAACTTGTCGCGATGCGGCCAATCTAAAAGACATCTTGTTAGAATTTTACCTTTTGGAAATATTTTACTTACTCTTACGCATGGCTATGCCATAGCCTTTCTCGTCCAATGCGTCCCCAATCTTTTTCAGATTGCATTCTCGCTTGGTATTGTACTCAATGGAAGTGGATTCCATCAGGAATGCATAGTGAGTGTGTGTTTTTACTCGATTTACTCCCTCCATGTTGTCTGCGGTAAGATGTTGCGGATTTTCGGTCATGAATTTGTTCATCTTCTTGTAGCGCTCATCTTCGGATGTCTAAATATAAAAGATTTAGGTAAGGCAATAATTATAAGCACTTGGATAATACCAAGAAGAAGTTCCTGGTGGCTCCATTTTTTTTTGCACCGTAGACTACACCATCCTTGTTATCTGCCAAATCGTCAACGCTGTTGATCAAACTTTGAGGCTTTTCGATGGTTAAAAAGGCAGCCAAATTGGCGGTGTATGAGGAAACCACAATTAGAGTAAAGAACCACCAGAAACTGGCTACAGTTCTAGTTGATAGGGCTCTGCCAAATAGTTGAAGATAAATTAGAAAAACATTGATTAACTTGGATTATTCTTCATACTTTGGCCCAATTTCAGAGCCTTGCTGCAGTAAAGCTCCCGTGGTAAACCAAATCGAGTTGCCTATAGTGAATTGATTTTCTAGTTCCTCTGGCTCCTCAATACATGGATACGGGTTATCCCATTCACTTGGCGACAGACGGCCCAATATGAAGAAACTCAGGGACACGCCCAAAAAGGAAAAGCCCAGGAACCACCAGACCTCTTCGGAGAAAGGATCCATGAAGGTAAATAGCTCGGGAGTGGCTTTCTGGGGCTTCAAATAGAGAATTGCAATACCTGGAATAAATTAAGTCATTCAAAAATTTGGTTCAATAACGCGAAACCGTGACTTGCCAAGATTCATAAAAGGAATAGTGAAGTCAATGGCTTGTTCGCGTTCTGACGTAATGGTTAAATCCGTGATGGCCAAATCAGCGCGCTGCAAGAAGTTGTGTTTACTAATGAGTTGCAAAATTTAATGATTCTTACCCACCCCCATTATAATCTCCCTCAACATGCCCGTCGATTCATTCGAGGATTTGTTATACGATCCATAATCATTGCCACCATTTACGAAGGTAAAATTAAAGCCCAGTTTATCGGCCAGTTCTCTGATGAGATCCACGCCATAGCCTTCATATTGACTATTGCCCTCCAGCTGCTTAAAGCTCTCCACCAGTTGGGCATATGGTTTGTTCTGCAGTTGGAAAAGGATTGATTACATAAGGTACGAGTGGTTTTGATTATGGTCACCTACCGGCACGGAGAGCAATATAATGAATGTTTTATTAGCCAGAGAATTGTCAACATTATCGAATAGGGCGGTGGTTGCTGCCAGTCGCTGGGGTCTGTACTCTCTCTGTTCGTCCCAGGTGCCCACCTTTACAATACCCGAGGGCTGCAGCTCGATGACATCCAGATGGTATCCCTTGCGGACGTTTCCCTCGAAGTAAATGGGTCCAGTAAGCAAGTTTTCCGAGAGGCGCAACTGAAAGAGTCAGTAAAAATATTCAAATATTGATATTATCGGAAAAGTTTCCGTCTTCACTTACCGTTCGCATGTAATTCTTAAATGAGGAGCCATCATCACGGACACTTTCCGTTCTCTGCGAGCAATTCTGGGGAATCGGTTTGAATGGAAGATTCTTTAGCGTGTGTGCGAACAATTGAACGGCATCGTAGGTCAGAGCCATTTCCACGGTTATGGGACACGAACCTGAAAGAAAATTAAAATAAGGAATGAAGAAAATTAAGACCGAAGAAATGTTGTTAAATCAAAACATCTGCCAACCATTTCGAAACTCATCCTGGTCGGTGGGATAGCCCAACTTCATGAGCACCTCCTTGACAACCATCCTCTCCGGTGAAAACAAACGCAGCCCAGTTATATTCGCCTCACTGTACTTGTACTCCTCCAAATCAAAAGAGTGAAAGTCCAGGTTTCCAATGATGTACTTGTAGTCCTCGTTGATGATTCCGACTTGTTGTGCCTGGTTCAAAAACTCCGGCATCGTCTCACTGGAGCCCACGACCACAATCCGATTGTCCACGGACTTCCGCACCCGCCGGAGGACCTGTTTGTAGTTGCCATTCAGCTGCATGTCGTATCGCAGCACCGTGACCACGGGTCCATTCATTCCGAACAGCGTGGTCAGCTCATTCAAAATGTTCAGGTAATCGGCTGCGAGCAAAACAGGAATTATTAAAGGACCCCATTTGTTCCGTCGACAAAGGCAGCTCACCCGACTCGTACAGGAAAATGAAACGCGTCCAATTGAACTCTGTGATGAGGCTAAAAAGGGCCTTGGCCAGGTCCGCCGGATGCGGATGCAGATTGAAGCCCTCGGCGTACTCGCTCATGTAGGAGTAGATGTGGGGTATGTCCATGGCATCGCATATGGACATCAGATGTACAGCAGTGTGTCGCGATGAAGGTCCAAACACCCCCGCGATGCCAGTCTGAAAAATAATAAACAAATTTCAAATTTTAATGTGTTTACTTTTAAAATTTCATTTCATTTACTTCTTATTTGAATATTGTGTATTGTGTGTAATGAGTGATCGAATCCTTTTATTAATATAATTTAAAAAAAAAACTTTTTTTACGGAATACATTTTTTAACAAATGAAAACTTCGCAAAATGTGTTTCATTTCTCGTATTTTGTAAATTCTGTAGTATGACTTAATCGAATGTGAATTTTGTTTAACTTTAAGCTAATGGTTTTCTAGAGTACTCACTAATAACACAATGTATGCTTAGTTCTGCCCGCTTTTTATCATCCATAGTAAATATACAAAAGTACTTACCTCCAGCATTCTGCATAATTTGCCGTAGCTCTGGTAGGCATCGCCGTAGTTGACCTCCTCCTTCAGCGAAGTTAGTGTGGTGCCCACCTCTTGGTTGGCCACATCGATGGCATGGTCGAAGACTATGTTCATTTGGTCCGTGTTTTGGTCGGTGAGCAGGCCTGAAACCGATAAATTCTCTCACATCCACTTTTTCGCCATTTCCCTCTTGCCGGTTTGTTTATAAACAACAACTTGACCTAATCATCCCATTCGGTCGGAAAACCCAAACAAACAAACAAATACTAAAACCGTTTTTATGAGCTTTCAGCGTTGATGGAACGAACAGCTTGTTCTCTTTATGAGAAATTAAAAATAAATCGCGCGTTAAAAACAGTTTGTTTGGAAGTGCACAAAAAAAATATGGCTCACGCGACACACATTTTTCATTTGAGTTTTTTTTGGTTTCTTCTCGAAACTACTTACCAATTGGGACATTTACCAAACTTTGGAAGTTGTCGTAGCCGCCAAAGTTTTCATACTGAGCGCTGTTACCAGAAAATTGAATGCAAATAATGGTCCACAGAATTATACCGTGATTGTTAAACATTTTAAATTATTTTTATTTAAAACATATATATATATATGTATATATATATATAGCATTTAAAAAATAAAATGATCTGCTTTCCGAACCGAACACTTCGAGTAAAAAGCCACAACTGACGTTTGCTTCCAAAATGTCAATTTGGAAAAAGTTTTGAGTGAAATTTTTAAAAAGCTTTAGCGAAACTTTGCAGAGAGTATTGAGATTGATCAAGAAGTATCTCAATGTTAATCCTCAGCTGGACTGTTCTCCTCGGAATCCGTTTTTAGGGACTCAATGGACTGCGATGAATTCCGACTGCGGGAGTATATCGACTGAGCGCTTTTAAGGACTCGTTCATTTTCCGAGAAGCGGATGACAATTTTGAATTCCTCAGCCAGGGCGCCGGAAAAGGGAACCTGGAAAATATTATCACTTATTATCATCGTAATAGGCACGGTGACAAGCAATTGTACCGCATATAGTTTAGCTTTCTTGTAAACAAAGTAACACCAATATAGTATGGAGACAATCATGGAAATGCAGGATCCGATGGCCAGGACAGCGTAAATACCACTCAGATTGGCCACACCCAACTCAGAAGGTCCATCATTACCGGATTTAGCCTGGAACACGAGATTTATTATGGGTTTATGTTAGCCCGCAAGAAACTTACACTGCAAACACCGGCGCCAACTTCGTTCCACCATTTGTTCTTCAACCTGGCCAATACGCCCTGTTCCTGCAGCTCCAGCAGGGCGTTGTTGAACTTATCACGATATGGCCAATCTGTGGGAAGGTTTCTAATTACACCCGATCTAAGGTAAGTCCCAGCTACCTACTTTTCACCATGGCTATGCCATATCCCTTCTCATCCAGGGCGTCTCCCACTTTTGTCAGATTGCATTCCCTAACCGTATTAAACTCAATCGAGGTCGATTCCATGAGAAAAGCGTATTTGGTGCCTGCCTTCACCTTATCCACGCCGTCCTGATTGCTCTCCATCAGCATCTCTGGATGACTAGTCATGTACTCGTTCATTTTCATATAGGTGGGGTCCTCTGAAGTCTTTGGAGTCCCACCAAAAATGTAAAATCGTTTGCTTTAAATAATTTCTCGACTTACCAGAAAGAAATTCCTGGTGGATCCTGTACGCTTAGCTCCATACTGAACTTCGCCTTTATTATCGGCCAAGTCTTCAACGCTGTTGATGGGACTTGTGGGATTCTCTATGGTCAAGAAGGCAGCCAAGTTGGCAGTGTAAGAAGATACCATAATTAAAGTGAAAAACCACCAAATGGCCGAAATTGTACGAGTACTAAGGGCTCTAAAATGGTATACAAAATTGATTAAATAAAAATCTTTTATATTTCTAGGTATTCTTACTTGGGAGCAATTTCTGAGCCTTGCTGCAGTAAAGCTCCCGTGGTAAACCACAGGGAATTGTTGATGGTAAACTGGTTTTCCAATTTTTCTGGTTCTTCAATGCACGGATAGGGATTATCCCACTCAATGGGCGAAAGGCGGCCTATAATAAAGAAGCAGAGCGAAACACCCACATAGGCTATACCCAAGTAGAGCCAGACCTCCGATGAAAATGGGTCCATGAACGAGAAAAGGGCGGGCGGTGCCTTTTGAGGTTTTACATATAATATAGCTATGCCTAGTAATCGGAAAAACATCGTCAGATAATATAACCAGCTGGTATCAGGTATACCTCACCCAGATTCATAAAGGGTATGGAAAAATCAATGACTTCTTCTCGTTCCGCTGTTATGGTAAGATCAGTGATGGCCAAATCAGCTCGCTTTTATAAAATACGTTTTTAATCTGTGATCAAGTAATATGGTATCAAACTTACCCCTTCTACAATTTCCTTGAGCATTCCTGTGGTGGTATTAGTGGTTTTATTGAAGGAGCCATAGTCACTACCCCCATCACGAAAGATGAACTTAAAGCCAAGCTTGTCGGCCAACTCTTTGATCAGATCGACTCCATAACCCTGGTACTGATTGTTGCCTAAGAGTGTGTCAATACTCTCCACGAGACTGGCATACGGTTTGGTCTGCAATTGAAATTATCATTGGAAAAATGAAAACCATTCTAAAGCTATTAACTTAATCAAAGCTCACCGCAATTGATATTAGAACCGTGAAGGTTTTGTTGACCAGAGATCCGTCATTGATGTCATTAAAGTTAATAACTTCAGGAGGCCGCTGGAACTCAAAGTCCTTACCTTCCTCCCAGGTGCCGATCTTGACCAAGCCACTTGATTGTAGCTCGATGACATCGAATGTGAAACCCTTGCGCACATTACCCTCAAAATAGATGCGACCAGTAATCGTTTTTTCCTTGATCTCCAGCTGTTACGTTTTTATAATTAGTAAAGGTATGCATTGATTGTTGAAGTTTACATACCGATCTCATGTAGTTTCTGAAGGTAGAGCCATCAGGTTGAACATTGTCATGCCGCTCGGAACAGTTGAGCATCTGAGGTTGATAGGGCAGATGCTTTGTTGTCTCCGCAATGACTCGAACTGCATCATAGGTGAGGGCCATGGACATGGTGACGGATGAGGAGCCTGCAAAACAACAGAACCTATATATATAAAACCTTTGAGAAAAAAAAAATTTCACTCTCCCACCGGTATTAGTGGGTCCACTTTCTCCGAGTTCCTGGTGCAACTTTTCATCCAGGTCTCGCACTGCCTCCTGATCGGGTGAGAACATCCTTATGCCCGTGATGTTCGCTTCGCTGTATTTGTACTCCTCCAGTTCGAAGGTGTGCAGATCCAGGTTACCTACAACATAGGTGTAATCCTCGTTCATGATGCCCACCTGTTGGGCTTGACGCAGTAGCTCGGCCACGCCCTCTGTGGAACCCACCACCACAATGCGACTGTCCTCCGATTTTCTGATGCGTCGAAGAACCGACTTGTAGTTGCCATTCAGATTGAGGTCATAGCGCATTACTTTGATGACAGGACCTTTGGTGCCATACAGGGTCATCAGGTGGTCCAAAATATTCAGGTACTCAGCTTTAACAGAAAATTGGGAACTTAAGTTAAGAGTCATTGTGGCATTACTGAAGCACCAACCGGATTCGTAGCAAAATATAAAGCGTGACCACTCAAACTGGTTGACAATGTCGTACAGAGCATGGGCTATATCCTCCGGACTTGGGTGCAGATTGAAGCCATCCACCTGGCCACTCCACGAGAGATGCGGGTATATGAAGGGAATGTCCTTGGAGTCGCAGGCGTTCAGCAGGTGGGAGGCTGTCTGCTTGGCAGCCGGCCCAAAGACGGCACCCACGCCGCCCTGATAGGAAAGCATAGTCAGGTCCTTTTATGTTCCACAAAACTGCAGTTGCCTCACCTGCATCAGCCTACAAAGTTGGGCAAAGGCCTGGACGGAATTGCCAAAGGCCACCTGCTCCGTTTCTCCGGCCAAAGGAATACCCAGCTCATTGTTTACCACCGATATGGCGTGCTCGAAAGTCTGCCGGATTCTGTCGGTGGCGTCGTCTGTGATAAGGCCTGCATTTTTTATTTTGAGTCAAATTAATTCGAGAGTGAAAACTTGTTAAGCTCTTTGAACTTATTCACTCACCGAGGCGAATGGATTGGCCACTGGATGAGCCATAAGTACTGCCTCCATAAAACTGTGCCTGCACTTTGTTAAGGCAATGAAAAGTCAGCAAAATCCAACAGAAATGCATTGCATTCATTTATTGAATATTCGATTTTTAACTTTTCATTTCTTTCCGCTGGTCTTTTGCTTTTTAACGATGCGTATATATAAATATATACGTATATTTTTGGATCACCCACTAGCGCGATGTCTTTGAAGTTCTACAGCCGCCGAGCGCACGTTCCCAACTGAATGGGCACTCATAATTGCTTTGAAAATTCCACTCAAAAGTTTTCCAAAATATTTGTTTTGAACTTGAAAGCTGCCAGTGTTAAGAAATCATTCATACATTAAAAGTCATCGAATTTGATAATATACATTTAATTAGAATTATCACAAACATAAATTGCATCATAAACTAAACTATTGCAAGTTACAAATATAAATAGTTAAGGGCTAAGAAAAATATATAGATTTGAAAGTTCATTTTTGGCACTGTATCTTTTTTTGTGACTGATGGGAGTCGAAATAATCCCATCCGATCCGAGACATTTCTTTGGGAATCTGTCAATTGAACCCTGAAATGGAGATGTAAATCTTTATCGAAAGTATTAATGTTTCTGCGAAGATAAGCTATATTTAGTGCAGCACTACTCCAGCCCCAAGAACATTCCAAGTGGCACGCACCAATTGCGGTTTTATTGGAAAGACAATTGGAGAAGTTGCTCCCCGGAGCAGAAACTGAGCCAACTGCTGGGCATAAATCACCATTAATTAAGTGAGAGCGTCCCAATTGAAGTGCGATGTCGTTGCTGGCACAACAGCACTGGGAATGGGTAACGAGCCACAAGGAAGCTGCACCAGACACCGACACCTCCACTTCACCACTTGCTCCATTGAGTGGCGCCCAAAGTGGAGCCATTAGAGCCCCGATTGTGAGGTTCTTGTACTCACCAACTGGCTTGCCTTCGGTCTTTGGTCTAGGACTGCGTGGCATACGTCATTTGTAATACTCTTAGGCTATAGGTTTGGTAACGCGACTACCAAACGCTGCACTTCTTCACGGGATTCATTGGCGAGCCCACGGGACAATTGAACTCCCGCGCAAAGTCGAAGGAGTTCGAGAGCGTTCCGATCACCCGGAAGCGACCTGGACTATGGATGGCCGTGTTCAGCTTGTTCCTAATGGCCTCCGGTCGCATTGCTCCGCACCACACCTGCCCGAAGTTGAGGAAGAACAGCTGCGACCCCGTCATATTGAGTCCCGGCAGGACCTCGTCCTGGACCTCGCTGGGGTGCTCCTTCAGCCAGCGCTGGTAGGCGTGGAATGCCTGGCGCAGGCCCCCATTATCTGCGATATTCTCACCTGAAATATGTTATTATAAATTAACAAAATACTATAATAACATGCTAAGAAGATGTAAAGAAGCTTATATGGTAACTTGCTTCATAATTTCTAGTTAAATATTTTCGAGTCAAACTATTTGAGTCCAATATTGCGACTGAGAATTTGTTTAACGGAAGACAGGTTTCCTACATTTTTAAATTTCGCTGTCTTCCTGCTAAATCCATCTTTGTCAATCCCTTTTGGTTCCAGGCACTTTGTCATTCATAAAAACACACAGATGGACAGAAAGACAAGACTATAGTAGATTAAAAAAGCTGATTTGCTAATTAAAATTATACGTATTTTGTAGAGCTAAAAACGCTTCCCTGTAAGTTTACTCTTCTAGTAATTGGTATATATGGCAAATTGGATCTAAGCAACTTACCCTGCGTACTCTCTCCATTCAGGACGATGCCCACCTCCTCCACGGTGTAATTGCTGTACTGGGCGATAATGCAGCGGGCACGCTCGTCGAATCCCCGGATCGAGGAGTCCGTCCACCACTTGTGGATGTTGCCGTTGCGGTCGAAGAGCCTTCCCTTGTCGTCAAAGCCGTGGGTCAGCTCGTGGCCAATGACCACACCGATGCCCCCGAAGTTCAGCGACTTGGGGAAGTGGCGGTGGTAGAAGGGCGGCTGCAGGATGCCGGCAGGGAACATGATCTGGTTCTTGTTGCGGCTATAATACGCATTCACGATGGCCGGCGCCGTCTGCCAATTGGTTTTGTTGACCCGCTCGTGCAACTTGGCCTGCTCCGTTTTGGCCGTGTGGAGCAGGACGTTTAGCGTGTTCTCGAAGTACTTGTCCGGATGGATTTCGATGCCTGCGTACTTGCTGTTGAGCTCACCCGGATTGAGGATAAAGTCCGGGTAGCCGATCTTCAGGGACATGGCGTTCACCTTCTCCTCGGCCAATTGTTTGGTGGTGTCGTCCAGCCAATCTGTGGTCTTCAGGATATCGCGGAAGGCTTGCTGCAGATCGTGGGTCATCCGCAGTGTGTCCCGCTTGCTGTTGTTGTCGAAGTAGCGGCTCACGAACATTGATCCCACGGCCATGCCCATGTTGGTGTTCACCTGGGCGATGCACACCTTCCAGCGCTGGGGACTCTCCTCCCGGCCGAAAAGAGCGTGGTAGAAGTGCTGCTTGATGTCGTCGAAACGATCGTCCACGTTGTTTATGCGATGCCTCACAAAGCGCCACATCATATAATTGGCCACCGTTCGGGGATCGGTCTCCTCGAGCAGATTCACTAACTTACTCATGTACTCCACTGCGTAGATGACCACCTCCTCGGAGCCAAGGACCTCGCGCTCCTGCAGGCTCTGCAGATAGGCACGCCACTTGATGTCCGGCACCACCTCCTGGAGTTGGTCCAGCGTCATCCGTTTGTAGAGCTGCGAAATAATAGGAATCCGGATTTAACAAGGCATATCATTTCAGTACTTGAGTTTCTTAAAACGTAAAAGTTATGTTAGTTAGTTCATGATTCTTAAGTCCCTTTATATTAAATGAAAAATAAAAATGTTAATTAAATTGGTTACATTTGAAATAGTTTCATACACAACTTAAATGTAATGTTCGATTATATTATTTTGACTTCTTTTGAAAGGTGTAATTTATAAATTACGCAAAGTGTTTTGGCTGACTTTTTAATTTATTAAACAACACTTTTCTGTATGTCTAATTTGTTTTGTGTGATCTTAAAAGTAAAGTTTTTGCTAGTTCAGATAGTATTTCAACATCTTAATGCATTTATCGTAGAACGATTCAATGACAACCTTTTCAGAAGTACTAGAAAAATGAAATAAATGTTTTTGGGACCCACTCACCTTGGTCACATTGAGTCGCTGCTCCGCTGGCGCCGTAATCCCGGCCAGCTGCGTCTCGAACACCACCAGTTCGTTGGCCACCCGCTGGGCGTCCGCCTTGGAGGCGCCCATCTTGTGCATCACCTCGGCCATGTAGCGCTGGTAGGCCTGCAGGTACTTGGTGTTGCTCGGCTGCAGGAAGTACTCCCTGGTGGGCAGGCCCAGGCCCGTCTGGTCGAACTGGACGATGTTCTCCTCGGAGTTCTTGATGTCCGCCCCCACCCACTGGACAATGAGGATGTCGTTGTTGTAGCGCCTCAGCGTGGCGGCCAGCACCTGCCAGTTGAAGTGGGAGTCGCTCCACTGCGGCTCCAGCACTGGCCACCCGCCCAGTTCCCGGATGAGGGTGTGCAGCGGCTCCAGTCCCCGCTTGGCCAGCACCTGGCTATTCACGCACGAGCGGTATAGGTTCTTGGCCTTCACCTGGGCGTCGTGCTGGGGCTTCAGATAATCAGTGGGGACATGCAGTTGCTCCTCGGTCTCTGACCTATCTTTGGACTTCTCTTTCGGCGGAGCGGCGGGTGGAGCAGCTTCCTCCTCTTTGGTCCTCTCACGCGGCGTCTCGATGAGGCGTTTCCGCTTGGTTCCGTTGGTGTAGCGTTTGTAGCGCACCAGGACCCGGTTGAGCAACTGCCTCTTACTGACGATGTGGCGACGGAGACGTTCCGCCGTCAGTTCCGCAGCCTGGTCAGCTTCACCTTCGCCCTCGCCCTGCTCATTGAGTTTGAAGAGCGTATTCCTCACCGGGCTCTTTCGTGGTTCCGCCGCTGGATGCACCGGTGCATTCTTCTCGAGGAGATTTCGCAGCACCAAGTCCAGACTCTCGCGCAGCATCTCGAAGGTATCGAAACCGGCTTTGTCCTTGGGTATCGGATGCAAGCGCTCCCAGTTGCCGCAGGCGTACTTGTAGAAATCCACGCAGGGATCCACTTTGTTGTCCATGGAGCGTTTCATGGTCTTGGCCTGGGTGAGGCGTATGCCCTCCCGGGTTCCCTCCTCGTTCCAGAAACTCTGCAAGGCGGCGATGGCGTCGCTGATCTCGGGACTGGCCTCTTCGGCCTGGCGTTCGGCCTCGCGCCGTTCCCGCCTCCGGCTCCACTCCAGCCAGTAGGGAGCTATGTCCTGGTAGCGCTTCGTCTGGCGCCGATAGAGATCGTCGTCCAGGGGCTTGATGTCCAGGTCGACACCACTGCCGAGGCACTCGCGCGGAATGCCCAGCGGCAGGAAGGAGGTGCGGGAGTCCTTCATCAGCGTGTTGCGCTCCTCCAGCTCCATCGCCTCCCCATTCCCATAGCGGTAGGGCTGGCAGCGCCGCTCCCGTTCGGCGGCCAGAAGTTCCAGCTGGGCCCGCTTATCCGCCGGCAGGATGAACTCCTCCTTGATCAGCTCATTGTAGGTGCTGCCCTCCGGGACCACGGATTCAAAGTCTTCAACATAGGCGGGAAATTCGGCAGCGGAGTTCTGGCGATCGCGCATCCTCTGCTCGTTCAGTTGCAGGGCCGCCAGCATCCCGTCCAGCCGCATGATCAGGATGAGCACCAGGGTCAGCGGCAGCATTACCACTGGAAGCAGTAGAAGCAATTTGCAGCAGGTCAGGCCCGGACACCACTGCACCCGACCTGTCCGCTGATTAACGCCCAGGCCCAGCTTCACGCTCCGAGATTTGGAGGCGGATGAAGTCGAACCAGGAGATGGAGCAGCAGGTGCCCCGTGCACCGAGGGCATCGCTAGCTTCAGCTGGCTGTGGCGACTCATCCCACGAGCGGCAGCCGTAATTGAGGAGCTCGCTGGCCTTTATACTTTAATTAAACGCAATTTTTCGCGCAACGCAGTTTGGCGACAAACCGAACGGGACGTAACCTAAACCGAGAATGGAGAGCCGGAGAATGATGAGCCTCAGAATGACGGGCCGCGGACCGGAGATCAGAGGCTGGAGACCGGAGACCGGAGACTGTGGCCGAGTCGTGCTCGCATTGCCAACTGAAAGCGCCGCATGGGGATGCGCAATCACGGCGCGCGACAAGCAATTGAGCGGCGACAGCAGCAACTGGCGACAGCAGCAGCAGCACAGCAGCAACTAGCAACTAGCAGCATGCAATCAATGGATCTCCAGCCAGCGGGGGTGGATTTGGGGGTCAGGGGTGGCTCTACTTGGGCTGATCTTAGCAATACAGATCTTGGGACAGGAAATATCCGGTATTTCCTCACAGATACCTGCACTGATTTGAACCATTAACCTCAATCGCTTCATTAATTCGCCTTTATATCTTTGTTAATCAACAGGAACGGCAACAAAGCAGATCGTTCAGAAATTTGTGTCACTATCACTGGACTTGCAATAACAAACGCCTCTGTAGAAATAACTACACAGTGAAAAGTAAAATTTGAAAAAAAAAACCGATTGGTTCTAAGTGGGACGTTTAAAATGTGATCGTCTTTATAGTTCATCGTTTATGAAATTAAGAAGATTAAAAAAAAATGTATGTTTTCATCATATCATTTTGATCTTAGCGCCTCTTGTTTTTTTTCCAATCTTAGTATTCTATTTATTTGTTCCTTATCAATTTTAATATTGTCCATTTTATTCAATTAAATTTTCAAATCGTCGTCAGCTACACAGCAAAAAATTCGAACCGATATATTTCAAAATCGGATTAAAATTTTATTATTTTAATTCAACTCTCAATGTTTTCTAATGAGAATCGGTAATTGTTAATAAACCTTTGACTAACTTATCATTTTAAAATTGATATATGAAATCAAGTGGGAACGAAGATATTTTTTATGAAACACTGTAATTGGACAATTACCAATGAGACTTTATTAAATAATTGAATATTTTTTTCCCCGTGCACAGCAGCCACCCAAGCACCTCCGCATTGACCTCTGCCCGAGTAGCGTCTAAATTCAATCAATTTAATTTAATTTCACAAAACAATTGCACAGACCGACGGCGGACAGCTGGCCACGGGTAACATCCTCGAGTGTACCCAGTGACTCGGAACTATGCTTTTGGAGTGCAAAGAATCCCAGATACTCATCTTATAGATGTACTCCCGCCGAAATCGCCCTTTAAAGAATGTCAGCGGCTCTCATAACTCAGCCGTTTAATCTGACCATTCAAGCGTAATGTAAATGGCGTCATTGGGCGCCACTAACTACTCCAGTCACACGTGTTTTGGGGCCCGTAATCCCCATCTCCGTGCCACTATTTAAAGGGAATTAAAGCTCTGCGAGGCGTAACCGAAACCCAAATTGCCGCTTTAGAAGGCGGCGGGGCGCGGGCATTTGGTTTGGGCTAGTATTACAAGATTATGCGGGTAATTGGTGGCATGCGATGCCATCTAATGTGCCCAAAACCCCTCTCCCCTTCGCTTTGCATATACACATGCCTATATTGGAGGGGCTGTGCTGGGGTGGGGGGATTGTGGTGGATCGGGAGGGATGGCTTTTGTTCACGTCATGTATGAACTTCAGCCTCATGGACACCAAACACGCAGGTGTATCTGTGTGAGATGAGTGCGTCTGTTTGGGTGTACATCTGTTTATGTGCTTATGCTGCCGGGAGAACTGACGATTGCTTCATATGCTAATTTTAGCCTTAAACCTTTTAATTAGCGACTATGACCGAGATTAGTCGACTGGTCCATTTGTCAATCTCATATGCGCTATGCTGCTACTCTGTGCACAATCTGCAACTGTGTGTTTTGGGGGATGGCCTGCAGCCCCTAGTGCAAATGTTATGCAATTTGCCAACGCTCCGATGGATTCTAATTTCAATTGGCTTTTGTGTTCACTTGATCTGCGGTTCAAGACCAACCCGTCGACGCATGACCCACTGAGCCGACATGCGACGATACACAAACACACATTCGATTGCGGCATCGGGTTTGCGAGAGGTAATCGAACGAATCGTGAATTAATCAATTGATGTAAATAAACCCGGCATCGGTCGGGGATCGGGTGCTGTGTCTATATAGTCTGCGGATTGCATTCGATTGCGGTTGCGATTCGGGGGTATTTGCCGAATGAAATCGGGCTATCGCCACCGGATTAACTAACCACCTTAATCATTGGGTGATAATCAGATGTCAGGATTGCTTGAACTCATTCATTGTTTTGTATTAACTTGATTAAGTGTTCACATTGGCGTAGGCACGATTTTATTAAAGGGTTTTTAAAGAAAATTCGCTATTAGTATTATTAGACAAACTGATAGAATTCTATGCCCGAGATTATTTAATAAATTAACCATTTTTCTTATTTACCCTATACGTGCTTACTTTTTAATTATATTTTAGTTACCCTAGTTTAAGGTATACAAAATAATCTTTAACAATCGGTGAACGAGCACACGTTTTTACAAAAATTGTTCTGCAAATAAAAACAAATTATTTTGCCCTCATTTGCATTTCTTTTGCATTGACTGATTCTAGATGCCAACAGAATGTCGAAAATCCTCAAGAGGAATAAAAGCTCTTTTCACTACTTCAAGGTTAACCAAATGCAGGAGAAACAAGTTTCCACCTGGATTGCAACCCATTGCGATGCATGAAAGTGTTTCTGCCTTTTCTCTTTCGTAAACCGGTGGAAAGCAAGCTATGGATTTAAGCCATGGCCAACTGTTGCGTATGGAATATGGGGAAACCTGAACTTGAGTTTGGCGTCCCAAAGAAAATCGTAAAGCACACTCACACTTTATTGCCCGTTGCAGTTGCACCGCACTTCAACACTTCAGAGCCCCGGATGTCGAGAATCGTCCCACTGGAACTTAAATATTATTCGAGGTAAACAGAATGTTACCGCCGCGTTGCGAAGTCGTTCTAAAACTGATTTCGAGCTTAAATTGTGGAACTGTGTAGCTGCTACCGGCGTGCTTGGCAGTGATGCATCTGCTCGTTATCGCCCAGGGGTTTTACCAGCGAGCTGTTTGCTGTTTTCCGGCCGGGAGATGATATGGAACTGGTGAGTTGGTCGGGATTAATTCTCGATCGATCGCCACTAATGCAAGTGAATCACGGCCATTCACCTGTCCACAGGAGATCTGCTGAAGCAGAATTTTTGAGACGTTGACGTTTGTAACAAAGCAGACTGCTTGTGCACTTCAAAAAATATAAACTGAAAAAATTAAATACATGCAAGGTACTTTAAATACCAGGTGAGCGTATTATAACGTAGGAAATAAAAAAACACCAATAACATGCACATTGTAGACATTTTATTGACTTAAAACCATAAAACATATTTTGTAACCCTTTGTCAATATTACGGATCAATTTGTAAGTTAATATTAATAATTTGTGTATTTTGTAATCTTTTGTTATGTATTTTGTAACTAATTAACCTTTGCAATTTTAAATCTTTTCTTCAGTGTTGAGGTAAACAAATTTATTGAAATAATTCCGTGTGCCTTGTAGATAATTCACACGTTCACAGTACCTGTGCCATTATTAAAATGCTAATTGAATTCATAAAGCACAATGTGCTATTGACAACTCCATCTGGCAGTCGAGCAGTTTAATTAATTTAAAGCCAGCTAAAATATCATAAATCAATGGAGTTGGCTTTGTCCGTTCTAATGGCCACCATCATTGATTTATCCACTCACGTTGTTTGTTGTCGGCTGCCAAGAACATTTCAATTACAATTTGATTGGCTAAGACCACACCTGACTATGACAATGACAATTGTCGATCATGTTTGTTTAGCGATGCCCGTTTTCCAGAGCCGCAGTTTACTGAATAGAAAGATTTGTATTATTCGAGTGACTTTTATGGGGTCATTCAATATTTTAGTCACTCTGACTTCATTAATTAGAGTGGCGAGCATTCCTGTGTTATGTGCAGCTAATGTATTTAAATTTTATTTGTAACCTCCCGTTCCGTTCGGCACATTTAATTTTAATGGGTCGCAAGGTGGTGAGCCAAAAACTTTTTTAATTACATTACCATCCGGACGGGTCAATTAATTTCGGCACCGCAAATATGCAAATGTATATGTGTAGTCAGTTTGTAGAGTCCCACTCACGTTTCCATTTCACTAATGCACTCGCAGCAGCATTGCGGCCTCATTTATTAGTCTAATTATTTGTGAAACACAACCGTCAGCATCGACAGTGGCGAACGTTTTGACTGAAACCGAAAGCCGGCAAGTAATGCCAGCATTTTATTAAGCGCCAAAAAAAAGCATAAAATAATGGGGGAACAGCTTTGGCGACTATAAATTTTGCACTATCGATCATTGTCGAGCTGCGAGATAATTTACAATAAATCTGCGCGCCGTTTCAGAATAACAGGCAGATATGCAGGGCAGCCGGGGCAGCTAAAACTGCATTAGAGCGACCACCACACAACATAAATTAGGACAAGAAATGAAAGCTAACTTCGGGCGGAGCCGAAGTTTATATACCCTTGCAGAATACTCTGTAAATTATATTCTCCAAAATTATTCATATGATGCATTCTTAATACTCATCAAAAATCCCAACTTCCTAACTTTAAAAACACCAAAGTTATGGCATTTCCAATCGTTCAGTTATATGGCAGCTATAGGATATAGTCGGCCGATCCTTATGAAATTTGATAGGTCGGATTGATTGGCCAAAAATAAAGCCCATAGAAAATCCCAACTTCCCAACTTAACAAACACCAAAGTTATGACATTTCCGATTAATCAGTTATATGGCAGCTAAAGGATATAGTCGGCCGATCCTTATGAAATTTGGTAGGTCGGATTGATTGACCAAATATAAAACCCATAGGAAATCCAGCTTCCTAACTTTACAAACACCAAAGTTATGTTATTTCCGATCAATCAGTTATATGGCAGCTATAGGATATAGTCGGCCGATCCCGGCCGTTCCGACATATATACTGCGTGCAAAGGAAAGAAGGGTGTGTGCAAAGTTTGAACTCGATAGCTTTAAAACTGAGAGACTAGTTTGCGTAGAAACAGACAGACGGACAGACAGACGGACAGACGGACAGACGGACGGACAGACGGACGGACAGACGGACAGACGGACAGACGGACATGGCTATATCAACTCAGGAA